CGCCTAATTATAATTTATTATAATTATAATTAGGCGAAAATTTCATTTAAATGTTCACGAAATTTTCGCGATAAACATTTATTTAAGTGGGACATTTAAATTTTTACACAATTTTCACTAAAAATTGCAATTAAATATTCCGAACATTTCTAGGAAATCTTTAGGAAAGTTTCGGTGCTGTGAGGGAAATTTTGTTGCTTTGAGGTTATGTTCTTTATTATCACAAACAGACCTTTTTTTAAAATAAATCTCTCAAATATATATAAAATTCTTATAAATAATTATTATAAGTGGCACGAACATAAATATATATATATATACTTTGTCTCTAATATAATCGCATTATAATGTTCAAATATGTATATGTACAGTAAGAGAATATGTATATATATGTATATATATATGTTTGAAAAATTTAGCTTGTTCAGCGAGTATAAGCATTGCCTTGAAAAATCTCTTGTTTATTTAATACTTTGAATACATTAAATTAGAATGTTTCATAATTACGAGAGAGAGAGAGAGAGAGAGAGAGAGAGAGAGAGAGAGAGAGGTCATTTTTTTCGAATTGGCTTCTTATTTGTGATGGCCTAGTGACATGATAGCTTAGTTCAAACTCAACGCAAATAAAAAAGGCTCAAAGATCGGTAATGTATTCCAGAATTTCGTAATGGGACACTCGAGTCTGTGTCGTTCAATACTTACATATTATATATATATACATGTAAAACACAAGACTCATGTACACAAATATATATACACAATAGAATGTGCACTGTATCTGTCCACCTGACTCTGACGTCAGGAGCAAGGAAGAGGTTGAACGACCTTTAACAACTTACCAGACTGTATACTTTGTAGCTTGAATGTATATATGTATATAATGTAACATAGGGTATTAGAAATCAACTATTCCACCCACAATGTTACTGCGAGTATATATTAGAGATTTTTTATACCTCACCAACAAATGTTTATCTGATATCAACTACTATTTATGTTCTATATAAATTTAACAGTAAATCCTTTTTCAATATGTACTTTTTTTCTATCTCTATGGAAGGTTAAAATAAATAAATACATAATTTTATAAAATATTAATTATTATTCATTTTTTATAATATGTAATTTTTATTATTATTATTTTATAATTATATTAGCAAAATTAAACGCGCCAAATTGAGTATTTAATTGTTTGTTATAAAGAAATTAAAGATTAATATTATCAATAATAATTTAATTTATTAGAATATTATTACATATTAAATGATAATAATGAAAATTATATGTTTACAGGCCTTCGGTTTATATGACTTTTTCCGACTTTTTTCAAAAATACGACTTTTATCGACTTATTTTAATAAAATGCGACATTTTTTTTTACATTTGAAAAAAAATGTAAATAAAATACATTTTTCTAGTATAAAATGTAGATCTTCTTCAGATCTTCTTCAATTCAATTATTTAACAAATTTTGAACTAAAATGATTCTTCACTAAATTAATTATTTTTAATAATTTTAATGAAATACATCACAAATTCAATTATATCAAAATTATTTTTCAATTAAAATTTTTATGAAATTTAACAATTGTTTATAATTTAAAAAAAAAATATCACAATAAAATTGAATCATTTTTTAAAAATTTCAATTCAAAATAAACTAAAATTCATTTATTACCCGAAATTTTAATTCAAAATCAATTAAAAATCCAATAATTATCAAAAATTTTCAATTTAAAATTTAATTATTTACCAAGTTTTCAATTTAAAATGAAATAAAAATCAATTATTTTCTAAAATTTCTATTCAAAATTAATTACAGGGTGGCCAGTGGACCGGGAAACCGGGAAAACCGGGAAATGACAGGGAATTTGTTTTGACCTGGAAAAACCGGGAAATGACAGGGAATTTTTACCTTGACCGGGAATTTTGAAATTTTTTATTAAAAAGTATTTTATTTAATTCAAAAATTGTTGAAAGAAAAAAAAGCTTTGATCTTAGAAAATGCTCGCAAGTGTGCAGAAGACATTGATTTAGAACTTAAACAATTAAATAACCAAACCTGATTTTTAACTGAATACGTATCTGAACGTATTTTTAATTTAAAATATATATATATATATGTTTATTTTAAAACTCAAAGTATTAAGATGTTAAAATATTGAATGTGATATTAAAAATGTAGTTTTTAAAAGTTAACTTCTAGTTTAATTGAAAAGAGATACAAATATCTACGAAAAAGTTTATTTTATTAAAAAAATATATAGTATGTGTTTATTATAAACATTAAGTAAGAAACAAAATGTGATAAACGTGATAAAACGTTTTTTTTTTAATGTATATTACGTATTTATATGTTTTATGTTTAATAAAGAGTCAATATTCAATAAATTTATAGAATAATTTTTTGGGGAATTTTTCTTTATGACCGGGAAAAATAATTCATGACCGGGAAATGACCGGGAAATGACCGGGAATTTTTTTTGGTGAAAAAAACGGCCACCCTGAATTATCCAAATTTTCAATCAAAAATGAACTTAAATTAAATTATTATCCAAAATTTCAATTAAAATTCAATTATTTCCCAAAATTTTCAATTCAAAATGAACTGAAATTCAATTATTTTCCAAATTTAAAATCAAATAAAATTTCATTATTCTCAAAAATTTGAATGTAAAATTAATTGAATTTTCAATAATTTGAATTTAAAAGCATCTAAAATTTATTTATTTCTAAAATTTTCCATCGAAAATTATTTTTTTGAAATTTAATTATTTCAATTATAACTCTAAGGAAATTCAATGTATTTTTAACTATTTTAATAATATTCTTGAAAATTCAACTATCTGAAACTATTTTTCAATTAAAAATGATTTTCAAATTATTCTATTTTGTCCGCATTTTCTAATAAATTTTTAGTGAAATCATCTAAAATTTTAATTACAAAACACTTAAAGTTTCAATTAATTTCAAAAATCTCAATTTTAAATCTTTGAAAATTCAATTAAATTTAAAAAATGTTTTCCAAAAATTGTTTGATAAATTATTTTTAGTTCTGTAAAATTTAATAATTGTTTGAAAATTAACAATATCTTTTGAAATTTAATTATTTCTAAAAATTTCTACTTTAACCCTTCGAAAAGGATTATTATTAAAAAAAAAAATTTTTATTTAAAAATCTGTAAAATATTTTTGTTAAAATAAAAAACAAATCGACTTTTTTTTGGAATATAAATTGACTAAAACGACTTTTTTTGTGTCTTTAAGTTGATTCGAGGCCTGTGTTTTTATAATTAATATTTAATAGGTATTCGTTGGCCCCTGGTACCTTAAAAATTAATTTTTAAAAATTAATTTTTTTTTAAATTACTATCTTGTACGAAATTTTCTGGCGCATCTTTTTTCTCATCATAAATTTTTTGTATTTGTATACAATTTTTGAATCAATATACAACTTTAAAAAAAATTTCGTTGGTAAACGTTGTGTACTTCAGCTTCGTGAATTGAATTTTCGAATTTGGAATTTTAAAGAAACTTATTCCGAAATTTGGAAACACAATTATACAACTTTGGCAAAAATGAGAAAAAGAATTGTCAAAATTTGACACGTTATAAGATTACTATTCAAAAAAACACGTGAAATCAGAAAAGGCCAACTTCAAGTCAGGGCAGAAGGACAGACCAAGCATTTTATTATTATATAATTATTTATATTATAATCATAAATATAAATAATTTATAATAATACAATAAAATATATAATAAATAAATAATAAACTGATTTGCTTCATTGTTTTATTGATATTTAATTAAACAAACGGGAATTGCTTTTCAACTTAATGATTTATGAAACAGTGTGTTATGAAAAAAAAAAAAAAAAAAAAAAATGATTCACAATGATGTCTCGACACTTGTCATTTAAAGTCTATTTAACAGATAGTATATATTTGTTATGTAAAACGAATACACTATGTTGAGTCTATCTTAAACAGACTTGTACGTCATGTATTTAAAAACAATTCAATATTAATTTTTAATTTCAAAAGTTTTGTGAATTTATGTAAAAATCTCACAAAAAAAAGTCGTTTCGATTGATTTTCAATTCAGATTAAAAAATTAAAAAAAAAAAAGTTGAATGTGAAAAAATTAAAATTTTTTTTTTTATTTTATCATAGGGAACGGTTAAACTGAAATACATAGCCATCTGCTGGCGAAAATTAGAACAAGGGAGATCGATCATCGGCTTTAAGGAGGTTCAACCCATTAACATAACCTCAAACTAAAAAGTAGTTTTTAACAGAACTAAATATATATTTAAAATTTATTACACTCAAATTCGGCAGATCCAATTGTACAATTTTGGAAAAAAATTATTTTGAGTTAAAATTCGTTATTAAATAATAATTAATAAACATTTTGTATTTTTTCTTAAAAGTTAGTGAACAATTCTAATTTTTATCCAATTTTTATATTATTTGTAAGAATTGGATAAAAATTGGAATTATTCACTAACTTTTAAGAAAAAATAGAAATTGTTTATTAATTATTATTTTAGAACAAATTTTAACTCAAAATAATTTTTTTTCCAAATTTGTACAATTGGTTCTGTCAAATTTGGGTGTAATAAATTTTAAATATATTTTTAGTTCTGTTAAAAACTACTTTTTAGTTTGAGGTTATGTTAATGGCTTGAACCTCGTTAAGAGAAAATACATATATACATATATTAAAATGTTTTTTTAGGTTATGTTTGTGATTATGTCTTCATTAGATTCAAAATATTCAATAAAAACTGATTTTTATTTTACATAATTAAAAATGAACGTTTAATCAAACTAAAACTATCACTAAACATAAACTAAATTTTTTTTTGCCTTTGTCCCTTTCCCCATGGAACGTCACTGTATTTTTATATATAATTTAGAGAAATTATTTCAATTTCTTGATATAATTTTATATTTTACTTTTTTAATAAATAAAATATTTTTCTTCTATTTCAGATTACGCCCTGTAATACTCCAGCAACGCCTCCAAATTTTCCTGACGCATTATTAGCGTTCTCCAAAATGTCCGCGGGAGAAAAAACGCCCTCGGGTAAGCAAATCTTTTTTTTTTTACTTTATTTACACATATTCACATATATTGATCTTAGTCATCAGATTCGTTGACTCAACCTGAGAATATTTGATTGGCCTAGATATAAGAAAAAAAAATATATTCGTTTAACTATAAAGATCTATCATCGTGAATAGATAAAGTAAATATTTGATAAAAATTGTAATTTTAAATTCAATTTTTTGTAAATGATGCAATAAAATGATAATAAAAAATAAATAAAATAAAAATGATAATCTTTTATAAATTTTGTAACTCTCTATTACAGATATTAATATATACATTGTATTTAAATATATATTTTTGAAATTTTACCTTTATAATAAATATAAATTATTAGCAGAGTTTCATATTAAAATTTTCTTTACACACACACGAAACCGCATTTATTTCAAAACATTAAAGTTTATTTTTATTTACACCTGTTCAAGTCTCATATTGAGTTTAAGAGATTCTTTATTAACTCTAGTCACGCCACACACTCTTACATAATAATTTTTAAATGAGTATATTTTACTGCTTCTATAAATCAATAATAATTTTTCATAGTTGAACAATTTATAAACATGGGACGAATCTTAAGTATATACTTTGTAACATAATTTACCTCTCGACCAATATGGAAGTAAAATTGAAATTATATATTTATCTCCATATTTGTATTTTGCTCCATATTTTTCTTTTTTTTTTTAACGTCAGTTCATTTTTGCATTATTAATTTTTAAAACGATTTACGTCACGTTTAAGAATATTTTAGTGGAATATAGTTTTTAAAAAAATATTAAAAATCTTTTATGTACCACTCTTTCTCTCTCTCTCTCTCTCCCTCTTACACTATTCTGTGAGCAAGTATTGATTCCTTACAAGAAGCTATTCTAAAAGAGAAAAACAACATCGGTTGAAAGTTCAAAAATTTTTTTTAAAGAATCTTTTTTTGTCACCTCAATTCGATCTGAGAATGAAATATGAATAATGTAGAGGAAAAAATTGTTAATATATTTTTTTTTCTATAAATATGCAAACATATGACAAAATTATTAAATTTTATTTTGATTTTTTAAGACTAAAAAAAAATAATATGGATAAATATTTGGATTGCCTGGGTGTGAATTAAATAAAATAAAAAATGACACTGGAATCTGTTTTTTTTTTTTTTTTTGTTAAATAAAATTATATACATATTTTACGGTGGAAATAAATTATACAAGGACTAGTAATTATTGCACAATAAAGAAAACAGTAAAAATTACTAATAATGCAGGCCTCGGATTACACGACTTTTACCGACTTTTTTCGACTTATTTTAATAAAATGCGACTTTTTCGACTTAATTAAAAATTTTTTTTACAAAATTTTTAAACAAAATACGTTTTTTTTAAGGATACAATGCAAATCTTCTTCAGAACTTCTTTATTTCAATTATTTAATAAATTTTTAACTAAAATTCTTCACTAAATTAATTATTTTTAATTATTTTAATGAAATTTTTCACAAATTCAATTATCTTAAACTATTTTTGAATTAAAATTTTTATGAAATTTAATAATTGTTTATAATTTAAAAAACAATTAGCAAATAAAATTACCAAAAATATTTAATTCAAAATCACATGAAATTAAATTATTTGCAAAAATTTTAATTATTTTTAATAATTTTTTATAATATTCTTCGAAAATTCAATTATCTGAAAGAATTTTGCAAATGAAAAAAATTTTAAAGTTCAATTTTTGTGTGTAATTTCTAATAAATTCCTCAGTTATTTTCAAAAAAAAAATCAATAGAAATTCAATTATTTTCAAAATTTTCAATGCTGAATTAATTAAAATTCAATTATTTTCCAACATTTCAATTCAAAATCAACTAAAATTCAATTGTTTTCCAAAATTTCGATTGAAATTACATTATTTTCAAAATTTTCAATTTAAAATCAACTAAAATTCATTTATTTTTAAATATTTCAATTCAAAATCAACTTAACTTCAATTATTTTTCAAAATTTCAATTTAATATCAATTATAATTTAATTATTTTGAAAAATTTCAATTTAAAAGCTTCTAAAATTAAATTATTTCTAAAAATTTACATCTAAAATTTTTTGAAATTTAATAATTTCAATTATAACTCTCGTGAAATCAAATTTTTTTTATGATTTATATAATATTCTTCGAAAATTCAACTATCTGAAAGAATTTTGCAAATGAAAAAAATTTTAAAGTTCAATTTTTGTGTGTAATTTCTAATAAATTCCTCAGTTATTTTCAAAAAAAAATCAATAGATATTCAATTATTTTCAAAATTTTCAATTTAAAATCAACTAAAATTCATTTATTTCCCAAAATTTCAATTCAGAATCAACTAAAATTCAATTATTTTTCAAAATTTCATTTGAAATTCCATTATTTTCAAAAGTTTCAATTTAAAATCAACTAAAGTTCAATTGTTTTCCAAAATTGCGATTGAAATTACATTATTTTCAAAATTTTCAATTTAAAATCAACTAAAATTCATTTATTTTTAAAAATTTCAACTTTAACTCTTTCAAAATTATTATTTAAAAAAAAATTTTAATAAAAAATCTGTAAAACATAATTAAGTTTTTGCGTGAAATTATTTTGTCCACCAAAACTAAAAACTATAACAAAAATTTTAATTCGAATAAATTGCTTAAATCAGACTTCAAATAATTATAAAAATTGAACTTCAAGAATTGTTTTGGAAATTTCTTCTACTTTAATAATTTAAAATAAATTTATTATTTAAGATTTTAATTAAATGCAATTTCAATCGATCGCAACTTAAATTATCCAAATTTTAATTAATTCATGTTTAAAATTTTGCGAAATTCAATTTATCAAAATTTTTATTAATTAAAGTTTCAAATTATCTAAATTTTTATTGATTTATGTTTCAAATTATTCGAATTTCAATTTGTTGAAATTTTAAATGGTTTCAAGTTTCATATCCGAATTTAAATTTGTTCAAAGTTTAATTGATTTAATTTTTAAATTATCCGAATTTTAATCCGTTCAACTTTTAATTTGATTCAAGTTTAATAATTATCCAAATTTTAATTCTTTGATTATTAAAATAATGTAAATATAACGACAAACACTTTTAGTTTGAAATCTTCGGGAATTCGAAAAAACCCAGATAAAATAATAGGTGAAATTAAACGATGGCAATATTGTTAATTTTTTTTTTTCATTTTATTTTCTTTTTGACAATATAAAAATAATTAATATTCTAATTTATAGGTTATGTTTACTTATTTTTCGTTACCATTGCAATTCGTGTTGAAAACTAATGAATTATTTTAATATTCATTGTGTTTATGCATGGCATATTTAAAATTATTGTTTTTAAAATGTCAATTGTCTGAATATTTATATGAGAATAATTTTTTAATTTGATAGAATTGAAGCAGAAAATCTAAATTCTATGTTCACAGAAGCTTTGTTTGAACAATCAAAAACAGAGCAATATCGCTTGCTTTTTTTTCTTTATTTTGGGCTGATTTTCATTCCCTGAATGTTTTCCTCTTTATTAGAATCACTCATTTTAATAATCACTTTAATTTAAACAAAACTTTTAGATTAGAAATTGTGAAAATTCGTAAATATCGAGTTGCACTAATTTTTATTTCGATTTTTTGTCTGCTTCTTCGCTGAACTCGAGATTATTTTGATATTTTATTTAAATTCCGTAGTTTTAAAAAACACAGAAAAAACCTGGTCTCAAATTGAGTACGAAATTTATACTCAATTCGATACGAATAAAAAATGAAACTGGTTGTCTTATTTCGAATTATAATGCTAAAGTCTCGAAATAAGATGGGGCAGTTTCATTTCGAGTAAAAGATAAAAGTTTAAAAATATCATCAAATAACGCAAGTAATTATATAAAAACCCAAAAAATATAATAAATTTCTAATAAAAATAACAAACTAAAATTATTATATTGTTTAATTTAAAAGTTAATTGGTTTTAATCGTGTAGTAAAATTTGAAGAGAAACATATTTTTAGGTTATGAACGTGAAAACATGACTGTGTTTTGAAAGCAAAAACGCGATACTGCCAACCTAAACAATGGCGCGAAATTTGAAAACTGCTAAAATTAATTATTATTTAAATAAACAATGATTAATATTTTTTACTTGAAAAATATTAAATATTCGCACTGTAGTTAAAAATCTATTTAATATTATTCAAATATTAGAAAAAATTATTTATATTTGTTTACAAAAATGATACCAACCTAGAAATCTGAAATTGAGTAACTTGAAGTTTGTCATTTACTCAATTTGATACCGATCTCAAAATGAGTTGCAACAAAAATGAGTCCAGATTTTTTCTATTAATTAGTTTAAAAAAAAGAAAACCTTAATAAAATTAATCGATTACCAAATAATTTTACTTTTACTTTGAATTTCAGGAATGTCACCAAGTCAAAATGGACACATGTCACAGCAACAGCAACAACAGACAGCACAGCATCATGCAGGTCGATGTAGTATTTCCGGTGGTACACAACAAAAAACTCAAACTCAACAACAATTTGGTCTTGGCGAACCGCAAAGATAAAGAATATTATAAATTTTGCCTTTGCACTATGTGTTTCATCGATCGCAGAAAAATAATAATTATAAAAAAAGAAAAAACAAAAAAAAAACTTATTGCAATGGCGCGTTCTAGTAGAAACAAAAAAGGATGAAGCATCGATGGACCGTAAAATGTTGACAATATTCAAAGTTACAAAAAAAAAAAGCCTAATTCTAATCAGAATTAAAGGCACAGAAAAAAGAAGAATGAAAAAAAAATATGAGCTTAATGAATTTTGTTTCTCCATCCAATATAAAAAAAAAAGAATCAGATGCTTCTCTGGACGAAAATACGAGACAAAATCTAATTATTTTACACTCTCGCAGTGATAAGTCTTTAAAAAAAAAAAAAAGATAAGATTGATTTCATAGGACAAGAAAAAATTAGTTCTTTATCACACACACAAAAAAAAAAAAAGACAATGATATTGTTAACAAATTAAATAATAGTACGACGCGTCCAGTCATTTTTTGTACCAATTATAAATCACTGCTTCATCATGTATTCGTTGTTTCATAGAAAACTTGCCGTGTTGTTTATTTTCTGGGCTGAGACAAAATAGCCAACAATGAATATCTCCACGATGACAAGAATAATAGTGGTGTGCATGTGTGTGAAAGAAAGAGAGAGAAAGAACGAAAGAGAGTGAATGAGTTAGAAAAAGAAAGAAGTTCCATGTTTTCGCCGAATTGCGAAATTTTTAAGGTCGGAGAGAGGCTCATCGAGGACTTTGTCGAACCTACCGCTAAACATTTTATCGACTGAATCTCGACAAAGTTAGGTAGGGAAATATACTGGTCCTTGTTCACGAGTTGGGCTGTGTTAAAACAAAAAAAAAAAAAAACAAAAAAAGAAAATTATTTGCACTGGAGAAAATAAAGAGCGACAAATTTCGCTTTAATGTGTCATATGTTACATGATTATTACATAATGTACGAAATATAATTGACTGCAAAATGGTCTCCAAAAAAAAAATAAAAAAAAATCATGGTATTGAGAATTAAAAAAAAAATCCAAGGAGCATTTAAGACTTCATAAGAGGAAAAAATAACAAAAAAAAAATCCAAATATATACAATTCTTAAAAAAAAAACTAATGACCATTAAAATACAATATATTTCTATCTGCTTCTATCTATTTTACGAATCGATATTTAAAATGAGGAAATGTCCGTGTCTTTGTAGAAATTCTATCTATCTATCAAATTTAGACGGACTTTTTTTTATTTTTCTTCCTTTCGATATCGTATTAAGCTCTTGGCATTCTCGGACAATAATCCTTGAATATCCTGTTTTCCTTCGTAAATATTATCTCTGTACACTTATTATAGAATAGCGATAACAAAAAAAAAAAAAAAAATGTTTATCTCTTTGTAATATAACGAAGAGTATTATTTTGTCATTCACCGTAGGTGAAATAAACTAAATAGCGACTTTTGACGTCTTTCTTATATGTGTATTGGATTATGGAAGATTTTATGAAAGAACTTTATATTTCTTTCTTCTTTTTTTTTTTTTTTTTTTTTTTTTTTTTTTTTTTGAAAAAAATGTGTACAGAATTTAAAATTTATTTACAATCGTCGAACGATTATTATGGAATAACAACTTTTCCTCTCACGATACGTATTTTAAATGTTCTGAGCGGTCCCTCGTGCTTATGAATTTAGATTATTATTATACGATTATGTTATTATTATTATTATTATTATTACTATTGTTTATTTGTCTATTATTATAAATAATGTTCATGTACATACTTTATGAAAACAAAAAAAAAAAAATATTATCTAAATAAAAATCATTATAATGGTGCTTTCATAGACAACTTGTTATTTCTTTTTGTTAATTTGTAAAATTATTTTACAAAAATTATACATATTTATATATACAATTTATATAATGAAATATTCACAATAATAATTTAAAAAAGTACCTTTGTACAATAAAAATAAAACCTCAATGAGGTAACAATGTTTAGCATAATTTTTTTGTTTTTGCTAATATAGCAATTTTTTTTTTTTTTTTGTTTGTTTGTATGAATAAAACTCATTTTCAAAAATATATAATCCTAGGAGTATAAATTTCGAAAAATATTTTAAGGTACTTGTATTCCTTGTCCTAATCCTGTCCATCTATCGGGCACTGATAAAAAATAACGATGCATTGCTTCTATAAATCTAGAACGATATTCGGCAGGTGAAACTATTGTTGGTAGTTTACCTTGACCACCGAGTATTCCTGATTTTTTTACAATTGTTTCTATTTTCTTATCCCAGGTAAATGTTCTTATATAATCTGAAAATAAAAAGAAAATTCTATTGTATACACTGATTTCTATTGGAAATTGAAATTTGTTAATCATTAATTCAATTAACAATTCGTTGGTTTTTTTCAATTATTATTATTATTATTTTTTTTACCTATTATTTCTAATACAAGTTAATTTTTATTTTGTTCCAACTATTTTTCCAATATTTTGTCCAAATTTTAAACAATTTAAGTTTTACTTTATTCAAATTTTAATTATTTTAATTTTCAAATTATCCGAATTTCAATTTATGAGGTTATTTATTTATTTTTTCTGTTTATATTTTATTTATTTTTTTATTTTTCTATTTATCCAAATTTTACTTTATTTAAGTTTTAAATCATCCGAATTTAAATTTGTACAAATTTCAATTGATTCATTTTTCAAAATTATCCAAATTTTAATTGATATCATTTTCATATTATTTTATTAAAATTTTTTTTTTTTAATATAAAGAAAATTTTATTGTACTAATTTCTATTGAAAATTAAAATTTGTTAATCATCAATTAAATTAAGAATACGTTGGTTTTTTTACTATTATTATTATTATTATTATTATTATTATTATTTTACCTATTATTCCTAATACAAGTTCATCTGTATTTGGTTCCAAGCCAACTAAAAGGGAATAATCCATTACACAATTATCGGCCAAAAATTTCGTGTCTTCCTCGATAGCTTTGTTTAAAACTGCTTTGGAATGTGGTCGAATGTATAATGGAGAATCGCAACTCACTGGAAAAAAAATGTTTAATTATTTATATTGTTTTTTATTTATCCACATATTATTGAATCAAAAAATTTTAAGTTCAATTTTTTTTTTATACTTCTGAGGACGCTTAATAATTTTTTTTTTTTTTTAAATTTTGAATCAATTTTGCCATTAAAAAAAAAAAAAGTTTCTAGAAATCATAGAATAAAAAAATTTTATTATTTCTTCAATAAAGAGATTTAAAAAATAAAATTCTTCAATTTTTTTTACAATTTTTTTGAAAAAAGTAACATTTAATTGCTTCTGGACAAAATTAGTAAAATAGCCAATAAAAAAGGTTTTTTAAAAAAATAAAAAATTTAAATTAAAAAAAGAAAAAAAAATGGAAGCCTGAATGAATATAAAATAAATAAAAATTGTATTAACTTACTATTCAATAAATTTTCATCGAGTAAAACCAATTCTCCTTCTCTGTCAACATCTTCGGGATTTACCAAACGATTGCGCACAGATCCTTTTAAATCAAATTTATCAGTTATCATTCTATTGTAAAAAAGATTTTCCATCACTAAAACACTCATACGTAATGCTGCATTTGTTGTATTATTTTTAAATGAAACTCTATAGACACCAACAATTTTTCCCAATAGTGTCGGTTGTTTTGTTTGTTGACATTTTTCCATATAGGCAAAATAATTGGGTGCAAATTCTAAAAATATCTGCATATCGATACGCGTCATTTCCTTTAGAATAAATCTGTCATCTATAAATTTAATTAAATTATTTAATTATTAAATAAAATTTTTACTTACGAGTAGTAAATGTATAGAATTAAAGGAGAAATAAAACGAAAACATTCGGACAAGGAGGTTTAAAAATATTTCGAAATTTAAATGATTTCCTCTTTGGAAAGTATTTATCAAAAAAAATTACAATTTAATACAAAAAATAAATACAAATGTCTTTGTTTTATTTCTCCTTTAATTAAAGTATTTAATTTTTTTTTTTCTATAACTGATGTCATTACAATTTTAAGAAAAGGGACCAGTGAAATTTCAGCCTATCAAAACTAATATTGTTAAGAGGTGTAAATTTTTTTCTGTCATTATTTAAAATCTAAAATTATTATACATTATGGTATTAAAATTAAAAAAAAAAAAATTATTTTTATCCATTTTGAAAATTTTATTTTTTGCAAAACTTTAAATTTTTTAAAATTCATACGATTAATGGTTCGAAATCATGAAAAAAAACGTATAAAAAATTTAGCGATGAAAAACAATCAAAAATTGTGGAAGAAGTTGAATTTTTAAAGAATCGCAACTAAAATTTAAACCAATTAAAATTAATCTTGTTAAGGGGGTTAATTTTGTTTGGCATTTTTTTCTGAACCTGAAATCATATTTCACTATGAAAAATAATAGACAGCAATTTTTTAACTATTTTACATATTTTTATTTTTCAAAATTTTCATATTTTGAAGAAATTAAAATTTTTTTTAATCCATACGCTTAATTGTTTAAAATTATGAAAAAAACAGCCTATAAAAAAATCGACAATAAAAAATAAAATAAATTTGTGAGAGAAGTTCAATATTTCTAAATTATCGTGAATTTTTAGTTTTATTAAAAAAAAATATTATCAAATTAATTTGTTTTTCAATTTTTTCATATTATTATTATTATTATTATTATTATTATTATTAACTATTTTATTAACTATTATAATTTTTTTATTTTTATTTTATTATTATTTTATTTTTATTTTTATTAACTATTTTTAATTATTATAATTTTAAATACTCAATATTGTCGGAAAAAAAATTGATAACCCTACTTTAATTTCGATGGATTAAAATTTCACTGGTCCCTTGCCTTAAATTTATAAAACAATTTTAAATTACCTCCATGAACTTTTCATGGGACCAAAAATATCAAATCATTTTTAAAAAAAGTTTTGGGTTCACATATTATTTTGAAAAGTATTTCTCAAGGTATTATTTTGACCGACAATTTTTTAAAAAGAAATAATTTAACATTTTTAGTCCTCTGAAAATCAATTTTCGGCGCTGAGTATCGACGCCAACTTCGTGGAGGTTTTTAAATTAAAAATTTTTAATAATCATTTTCATCATTATTAGAAAATTGATATTATATTATTATTATTAGAAAAATACCTCGAGTTTTAGAAAATGTGATTCCACTTTTACCACCACGAGCTGCCCATTGAACACTGCGACTCAAACTTCTTGTATATCCATCCTCTCCACATGGTAAAACATTTTCTCTAAGAGCAGCAAAAAGTACAGGAAAATAAACTCGACAGTAAAAATTTGTTGTTGCATCATTAAATTGAACTTCAATATAATTTTGTTGTTTTGTTGTTCGTTTCTCTTCTTCCGTTTCAGATGGTACTGATGAATTTGGATTTGCATTTTCCATTGATGGTGCACCCTTATCAATATCAAGTGGACTCGTTGGATTTGGAGTATTTCCTTTGAGAAAAGAAAGCATCGATGGTCGTTTAAATTCACCAGATTGATTCACATCAGAAATATTGTCTTTGAATTCTGGAAATTTTCTCTTATTCAATGGACTTGAATTTGTTTCTAAGCCTTTAATATTTCTCAATTGTTCCTGTAGAGCATGTTTATAATCGTGAGAATCTAATGCGTAGGCTATTATCGACGATGGTTCAGATTCATAAACAACTATTGGTACTACGGATCTGTGAAAAAATCAGTGTGTCGATTAAAATTTACAAATAAAATTAAAAATTTTTTTTCATTGTTCTTTTTTAGTCAAAAAAAAACGAGTTCTACAATTTGTTTTTATAATTTTTGAACTAATTTTTTGTTTTTTGAAAAAAAAAGATCTTTCTATGTCAAAAGAAAAGACGAAAAATTCAAATAAAAATTATAAGTTTTAATTTAAAAAGAAAAAATCGAATTATTTTTTGCAATGAAAATTATTGAAATAAAATAAAATTTTTCAACTCACCCTAGAGGTAGCAAATGATGTTCAATTGTTCCTAAAGGATTTTGAATTGCATTTGTCGTTGAAATGGAAGGCAACAATTGTGATAAAATAGTTTTCTTCTTCTTCTTTTTATCGGGTATCTCATCTGAAGTAATGGGCAAAACATCTGAATACGATCTCTGATGCATTTTCGGTGATTCATGAACAACAACAATCTCCTCAGGATTTGTTGTATTCTCAGCAATCTCATTATCTGAACTTTCCACAGTATCCGTGTATTGTCCTTCAGTTTGTCCAACCGATATTGCATCAACTGCATTATAATCAGCTGACATTGGACTGAGATCTTCGACTTGTGATTCCGATGCAGTATCCTCAGTGATATAACCATCGTTATCAATAACACCCGTACTATTCGAAGTTAACGATCTTTCGGTAAATTTACGTGATCTTTCATCTTTCTTTTTTGCTGTAATCTCCAAAATTTTTAAATTCCAATCTGTCACATTCTCAGAAATCAATCTCTTTAATAAAACAATACCATCCTCAATTCGATGCATCAATAATTGTACTTGACTCTCCGATTTTTTACCATCCAATTTTTTATTCTCCAATGTTGGCGATGTTAATTTCAATTGTGCCTCTTCAATTTTATTTTTAAAATACGATTGATCGCGTGACAATTGCATTTTTAATAAATTCAAATTCTCCTGTTCAATTGAAAATACAGCTAATTTTTCTCTAATACTGGAAAATACTTCATCGCCCTTTAATGCAACATTTTTCATTTCTTCAATTACATTTGTATATTGTTTTGAATCATAATAAATATTAATTAACGTTGGTGGTAGTGAAATTTCCCATTGCGATATTTTATTATATTTAAAAACAGCTAACATATTTTTTTTCGAAAAATATTGATAATGATCGTGATGCAATGAATGTTGACAAATTTCTGTATCGCGTCGTGTATAAATACCGCCGTGAAATTTTAATTCCAAATATTTGGCAAATGAAAATGACCATGTGTCATCGGTCATTGGTATTACTGGCGAGACACTTTTACATTTTTCACATTTACTCCACATGAGTATTTGATTTGCATTCTCCTGACCAAATGGCTCGGTATTCATTTCAGTTAATGTTATATAAACACAACCGCCATCGTGAGCAAAACGTCTTGCATGCTGTGCAATTTGTGCACGACAATCCTCAGCTGGACATTTATATTCAGTTGTTAGGCAATATCTCTCTAAAAAACGTCCCAATGCAATGTCATTCCTACCATAAAGATCCATATTAACAACCCAGGGATTAACACAAAACACTGGTGTATCATTGCTATTGTGCATAAAACTACAAAATAAAACTGACAAATGCTGATGACTCATTGGATCTAAACAATCGAGTCGCGTTGGTGCTTCAATTATTTCACTAGGAATGATAATTTGTTTCTTTATTGATAATTCATTATTTACATTCTCCAAACGACTGCCACAAGCACGAAAATTAGCAAGAAGTGTTTGAACCTCACGACTATCGGCACTTGACGTTAATTTTGCCTCAATAAACGGATGCGGTGCTTTAAGTATCAAATTAGCGAGTGGATGTAAAATTTCACTATTAGCTATTTTTGCACTTTCAATTTTATCCTCAAAATGAATTGAATAATATATTTCCTTTGGATAAAATTTTCTCAACGTACAATTACGACCAGTTTCAGTTTCTAAAAATGGTGTTGTAAATTTTAAATAAGGCGATACACTTAATATTGTACCTTCGAGGGTTTTTTTAAATTTATTCAATAATGGCAATTCAGCAACTGAAAGCTCCTGACCATTGGGACTTATTTGACTAAAATTATTATCATCATCCTCATTTAAATACTGATGCAATGGATCACTTTGATCACATATCGATTCACCATAAACACGTTTATCATCAAAAGACAATCGCTCTTTTAATTTTCCCTTTTCATTGCCAATTGATTCATCTTTTGATTCTTCGGAAATTGATCTTGCATTGGTTTTAAATAATTTCAAAGTATCATAAGAATTTAAATGATCAATCATAGAAGAAGTTTTAAATGTATTTTTCTCCTCATTCAAATGATCATTTGGAGGATCATTTTCATCGAGAAAAGAATTATTCTTTGGCGATGGTGGCCTTGCAAATTCATCCATTAAAAATGATTTCTCCAAACGCCACGAATAAACAGTGAATATAATCATTGACGTGACTTTTTTAACGCGTTTCAATTCTCTTTCAGAGCCACCACGTAAAAGAATAGTTGAACCAAGATGTGGATTTGCACAACCCTCAAAGTACATAAGTGTTTTAACGCCCAATTTTTCGCATGGAAAATTTCGTAGATAAAATTTTTTACAAGTACCAAGTCTACAGCGCGCTGAAATATGTGCGTCAATTGTATCGACAATATTTGCATCGGTACATCGTGCTACTCTTTCTAAAACGCTTAATTTCACATTTAACACCAATGTCACGCCACATTCGCGTAATCTATCCTGAGCGAGACGTGAAACTGAACGATGAACTAAAACAATATCGGGACCAAGTGCAGTTATTCTTTTAACAGTATGACCAAGATAATCATTCTCCTGAAGCATCACTGGTTCTAAACTCAATAATTTACCCTCAACTCTTTGATACATGAGTCCACAACGAAGTAAAAGTATTGTTGGATTTGCAATCATTGCATTCATACCGCGATGTGCAACATTTTTACTGCATACAACGCCCGAAACAATTTCACAATCATTTTTACTGCCACCTGGTGATTTTTTTATTTGCACATATTGCCTTATATCCAAATCCTCGGCATTGTGATTTAAATCAGGTCTCACACAATCAACAACCTGATGGGCTATTGATAATATTGTTTCCGACCAATTCTCCGAGAGTCCTTCCTTATTGAGTAATTGTTTTAATAATGATTCTTCGTGTTGTTTATACGCTGACCTGAAAGTTAATTAAGCTTTCATTTTTTATAAATTAGAAAAAATAATGAAGATCATAATTTTCCTTCTGGGTCTTTGATTTTTTATTGAAATTTTTTTTTTCCCAAATTTTTTGTATTTCATAAAATTTTAATTTTTGTCAATTTCAATAAATTTTTAGAAAATAACATTCTTCTTTTTTGCAATTCATTATAACTCTGACAATAATATAACTAAATTTGCACTTTTTTCTGAAATTTTTGTTTTTAACTCTACTTATTTTTTCCAAATGTTTTAAAAGATAATAAATTTATAAAGAAAAGTGAGATTTAAAGGAGAGATTTTCCCAGTATAGTAATTAATTTTTTTTTTTAAATATCAATTACAATGTTTGATAAAAATGTGAATTACATACATCTAATAAAGGCTTTTAATTCTTTAAACTTATTTAAAAATTAATTTTTGACAGAATAAAAATTACTTCTAAACTAATTTTTTTTCTTAAAAAATGAAAGTAATTTTTTATTTAATTAAACTGAAAAAATCGTCTTGTAAAATATACAAAACATAATTTTATTCATATTTTTCAAAGAAACTGAAATTTTTAATTTATTTAAATTAAATTTGTTTAAATGAAATTTAAAAATAATTTTTTAAATTAATTTTCTGATAAAAAAAATTTCTAATTTTTCTAATTCAGGCCTCGAATTTACTTTAGAAAGAGAAACAAGTCGTTTTTTGTTACAACAAAAAAATCACATTTTATAAAAATTATTCGAAATAGTCGCATTTATTAAAAAAAGTCGATTTTTTTTATTTTAACAAAATTTAATTGGTTAATGACTATTTTGCTTTAAATAATTAATATTATTAGATATTAAATTCATTTTATTAATTCTGTAATGAGAATAATTATATAAAAATATTATCAAGAAAATTTATTTCTCATATTTCAGATTCGAACTAATTGTAAGACAAATTTTCAAAATTTTATTTAAATATAGGACAAATTTCTAAAAAAAATTCTTAAAGTTCCATTTTTATAATTTTTTGAAATCTGATTTAAGCAATTTATTCGAATTTAAAATTTTGTCATAGTTTTAAGTTTTGATGGTCAACAAAATTCCAGACAATACTTAATCAAGTTTTACGTAGATTTTTAAATAAATTTTTTTTTAAATAATAATTTTGGAAGAGTTAAAATTGAAATTTTTGGAAATAATTAAATTTCAAAAGATTTTGTTAATTTTCAGACAATAATTAAATTTTACAGAACTAAAAATAATTTATCAAATAATTTTAGATATAACATTTTTTAAAAGTAATTAAATTTTCAAAGATTTACAATTTAGATTTTTGAAATTAATTGAACTTCAAGTGATTTTTAATTTAAAATTTTTGATGATTTTTGTTACTAAAAAATTTATTGGAAATTGCAGACAAGAACCTGAAACAATATCCCATTATCAGGCCTCGGATCGACTTTAAGGCACAAAAAAAGTCGAAAACGACGATTTTTTTATTTTAACAAAATTTAATTGATTAATCAATATTTTACTTTAAATAACTAATATTATTAGATATTAAATTCATTTTAATAATTCTGTAATGAAAATAATTACATAAAAATATTATCAAAAAAATTTATTTCAAATATTTTAGAATCGAACTAATTGTATGACAAATTTTTGAAAATTTTATTTAAGTAGAACAAATTTCTAAAAAAAATTCTTAAAGTTTCATTTTTTCAAGTCTGATTTAAGTAATTTATTTGAATTAAAATTTTGTCATAGTTTTTAGTTTTTATAGGTCAAAAAAATTTCAAGCAATACTTAATCAAAATGAAAGATTTTTAAATAATAATAATTTTGGAAGAGTTAAAGTTGAAATTTTTAGAAATAATCGAATTTCAAAAGATATTGTTAATTTTCAGACAATAATTAAATTTTACAGAAATAAAAATAATTTATCAAATAATTGTAAATAACATTTTTTAAAAGTAATTGAATTTTCAATGATTTACAATTTAGATTTTTGAAATTAATTGAACTTGAAGTGATTTTTAATTTAAAATTTTTGATTTCTGTTAATAATAAATTTATTAGAAATTTCAGACAAAAATACAATAATTTGAAAACTTTTTAAGCGAAAAATGGTTTTAGATAGTTAAATTTTCGAAGAATATTATAAAAATCATTAAAAATAATTGAATTTCAGGAAAATTTGTAATTGAAATTAAATTTCCAAAAAAAATTTTGGATGGAAACTTTTAGAAATAATTAAATTTTAGAAGATTTTAAATAGAAATTTTTTGAAAATAAATTTTAGTGATTTCTGTTGATGAAGAATTTATTAGAAATCATATTAAAAAAATTGAATTCCAAAAGTTTTTAATTGAAAAATGCTTTCAGATAATTGAATTTTCGAAAAATATTATAAAAAATCATTAAAAATAATTTAAATTTTTGCAAATAATTAAATTTCAAGGGATTTTGAATTAAAAATTTTTGCTAATTTTATTTGTTAATTTTTTAATAATTATAAACAATTATTAAATTTCATAAAAATTTTAATTGAAAAATAGTTAAAAATAATTAATTTAGTGAAGAATTTTAGTTAAAAATTTGATAAATAATTAAGAAGATCTGAAGGAGATCTGAATTGTTTATTAAAAAAACGTATTTTGTTTAAAATTTTTTTTTTTGAAAATGTAAAAAAAAGTCGAAAAAGTCGCATTTTATCAAAGCAAGTTGGAAAAAGTCGCGTAATCCAATGCCTGTAAAAGTCGAAAAAGTCGTGCAATCCGAGGCTTGTAATTTTTTTGTTCAAATTTGGATTTTTACTAAATATCCCATTATTCGACTTTCACCATAAAATAGGGGAAAAAAGGGTAATTTTTTCAAATAGAGGAAAAATAGGGGGGAAACACTGTGAAGCCTGGATATAGTAAAATTTTTAAATGATCTAGAAAAATATAACAAGAATTAGGACTTTCCACTTTACCTAAAATAATCCAAAGGCAAAATGATAAAAATTAAAATTAAAATTAAAACTTTTTCAAACTTACATTAAACAATTGTATGCATTAAGTTCACCAAATGCACTTCTAAAATTGACAGCTTTATGCCAACCATTTCTCTCTTTTGGCTCCTGCACTTGTAGTGTATCACTTAAAACTTCATCGGTAACTTTTGAATTTCTCTCCAATGCTTTAATATTAATTTCCTTTCTTTCAATTATACCATCACCGCTGTCTATTGAAATAGTCGTTAAATCTTCTGATGTTGGTCTTTTTAATGTAACGGTTGATGCTTCCAAATTTAAATCTAAATAAAAACTCGAACCAGATGAAGGTAATCGTGGATGATTTTGTGGCGATAATTGTGGTTGTTTCGATTCACTTTCAGAATCTGTTGTCGAATCATGTTGTGGAATTGTTTTTACCCAAGCCGGTTCTTGTGCATCGCAAGATGTTTGACTTTCAGTTAAAAAATCTGACGTTTGCATTCGTGGTAATTTCACTGGTTTAAAAATTGCCGATGTATCACTAAAAAAATTATCCGCCAATACTTGTTCAATGAAATCAGCTTCAAAAAGTGCTTGTCCAATTGCAGTGGCTTGTATTCTTTAGGAAAATTTTGTAATATTAATTTTTTTTTTTGTCACCCTAATAATAATGACAAATATGTAAATAATTTGTTTTTAAATTTTTGAAAAAAAAAAACAAATTGAAAAATTTCTCACCTATTTGCTGCTTTATTTTGTGCAATCATCCAATTAACTAAATCACTGCCTATAAAGCAGTTGTAATAACTTTTTAATCTTATCCTGTGTGTTTGAAGAATCATTGCTCGATTTGATCGAAATAATTCTTCATATATCATTCTTAATGATGCGGAATTTCGTAAAGCAAATGAACGTTCTTGTGATGTTAAATAAGTTGATGAGCTAAAATTTATGAAATTAGTATTTATATAATAATAAATATTTATCATAAATTAAGATTTAATACTGACCGTCCAATGGCATATTTTTCTTCCATATAGCCAACACTTGGCTTTCTTGATACAGTTTCACTTTCTACAATATCGTCAGAACGTCTTTGGCATACAGCTAATGAATCATTTCCATATTTTACTTCAAGATCTTCTTGAAGTGCTTTCAAATCAGCAGAAAGATCACTTCTCATATCAGAAGATTGTAAATAGGAAAGTACTACTTTACAACAGTAGGTACATACTCTTAAATCACCTGAAAAAAATTGCTTTCATTTAATATTTCTTCCCTGGTAAAAAAAAATAAAATAAATATATCTAAAATTTCATTTTCTTAAATTTTCACATATTTTCAAATTAGTAAAAATTAATTTTAAAACCAAAAGAATAAAGGGTAAAAATTTCTTTATAAAAATTAATTTATTATTAAGATAAGTCGCGTTCTAAATTTTTTTTCTACAAAATTTTCTAGTTACATACTTCGAAGTATAGTAAAAAACCAAAAAAAAAAGTCTAAAACGTATTGTCAAAATTAAAAAAAAAAAAGTTGCATAATGAAAGTAAAGTAAAATTAGATATTCAAGTAAAAGTTATAAATTTAAAAAAAAAGAAATGAAAAAATATGAAATGAAACTATAAATTTCAAAACTTTTTGATTGGTAATCTCAGAATTATGGTAACTTTATTTATTTGTTACAATTTCATTAAGATTATTGTTTTGTATTGAAATAAGGACATTCTTCCGATTTTATTTTAAGTAAATAATAAAAAAAATGTTATTTCGAAAATAAACTGAAGAAATATCAGTTGAATACAAGATTTAAAATTTCTCTATTATTTTTTTCTTTAAATTAAAAATAAAACATTCTTAAAAAAATTTTCACTTATTTTCATTTTTAACAAATTTTTAAAAAATAATTTTCAATTAATTCACAGTAGTATTAATTTATTAACAATATAAATCAATATCAATATTTAATAAATATCAATATTTATTAAATACTCAATTATTTGATAACTTATTTTTTTTTAAATTCAATTATTTTCATATTCAATTATATTAATGTAGAGATTTTTCGTGTTATAGATAGAAATTTTGAAATATTTTATCTACTTCTTTAAATTTTAACTTTAAATCTTTATTTATATTTTTTTTTTTTTTGAATTTCCAACATAGAAAAAAATATTTAAAAAAACAGGTACTGAACACTTTTTAGTTTTAGATAAAATTTTTAACCAATTTTGCGCCTCGCGATATAAAAATCGCAAATTCTTATCTCTTTTTTTTTCTTTAATCGAGCAATAAAAATAATTGAATTTACGAAATAATTAAATATGTTAAATTAATTTAAATTGAATTTACGAAATAATTTAAAATAAAAATATTTGAATTTAAAAATAAAATTAAATTTAGAAAATAATTTGAACATAAATCGATAAATTTTTAAAAATATGTATTATGTTTTAAATTTGAAAAAAAAAAATTTCTTCATGTTCAATTTTTAATTCTGTTATTTATGTTTAAAATAAAATTTGTTTATTATTTAGTCGTTACAAAATTCGAGATTTTAATAATTTTTTTATATTTACGAATATTAAATTTTTATTTAGTTATTTCTAATATAAAAATATAAAATTAGGTACATTTATTTAAAAGAAAATTTTTTTTTCAAAAAATGAAAAATTGTATGAATTGATTAACTCTGTTTATTAATTTAAAAGGAAAAATTGTTTTTAGAAAAATAAAAAAAAGTTAAGAAAGAATATTAAAGAGTCGAAAAATTTGAAGGAAAAATAATTTTAAAAATTCTAACAAAATAAAATTTTGAAAAAAATGATTAAAAAAATGCAAGAATTGTTGAAAAATGAAAAAAATATCAAAACAAAACAAATAAATAAAAAAAGAAATTAGAAGAAAAATAAATAATTATTTTAGAAATTCTAAAGAAAGGAAAATTTGAATGAAGAAATTGAATAAAAACCCTGAGAATTTTAGAAAATGAATAAGAAAATAAATAATGTTATCAAAAATAAAAGAAGAATTTTTGGCAATTTTGTAAAAACATAAATAAATAAAAAATTACAATGTAATTTTAAAAAAAGACCCAAATTTTAAAAAATGGAAAATTTAAGGAAAAAGTTGAGAATTTTAGACCAATTAGTAAAAAAAAATAAAAAAAAAATTTTTTTTTGAAACTTAGTAGCTTAAAGAAAAAATAATTAGTAGCAAAAAAAATAATCCCAATAGAAAAAAAAGTATAAAAATAAAATATTCAGGTACTTGAAAACTTGTAGTTATTTTCCAATTAGGAAATATCTTAATATTTTCTTTTTTTTTTAAAAAAAAAGAGAAAGTTTTTCTCATTAGAAAATTAACTTACCTGTGCAGCCCATGATTTTTCCAGGAATTTCATCGCAACAACATTTTGAACAAAATATTTGTCCACAAACACGACAATGATGTCGTCTTCTAAAAGTGGTAAATCTTTCGCTACACTCGTAACATTCTTTACTCACATTATCAGGCATCCAATAACTACGTAACTGTGAATCTTTATAAGATTGTAGATTCTAAAATTAATTTAAAGAAAAAAATTTTATTTTAAAAATTTTTATCTAAAAAATAAAATAATAATAAACTTACACTGCTTTTTAAAGCCACAATATTACTAATTCTTTTTAAGACATTTGGTAAACTACGCCCTTCACGATTGTCCAAGGAAAAATTCATCATACTTGAACTATCATCAACAGGAGTTTTTTCTCTACTCTCAGTTTGTTTCCAAGATTCTGAATCACCAGATGAACTTCGTTCATCATTATTTGGTGATGTTAGAGTTTCGTTTGTTTGAACTGTACCTATAAATGAATCTATGGATTTATAAATGACGAGAATATAAAAGTAAATTAGAAAAATAACTAAACAATATTTAAATAGAAATAAAATTCACTAAATTCTTTTCTCTATGATGGCAAAGAATTTTAATAATATAATTTTTTGTATTCATTATTTTGAAATTTTTTAAAAGTTTAAAAATTTAATTATTATTTTTAACTCAGTTTAATAAAGTTAATGACTATTTTTAAAAATATAATAAAACGGTATTTTTTTTAACAAAAAAGAAATAGAATTTAAAATATATTGATTTATAAACATTATACAACGAATTGAATTAAACGATTATATATATATATATATTAATTAAATTAAATACACTTATTAAAAAATGACAACAATACAATTAAATAGTAAACAATGACATAATTTTAAAAATCCTAACCTCTTTGTAAAATTATTGCAAAGAAATATTAATTACAATAACTATGGAAAATGAATTTATAATATAAAATTAAAATAATCGCCAATAATTATTCAAATATAATTGGTACTTACTTTTGGTAAAATTAAAGATTTTTGAAAAAATTGAAGCAACAACAGGTTGAGTTTCCTCTGGACTTAATGGTGCAAACTCCGTAAGTTTCGACGGAGAATTCATATTTTTATTCATTTTTTATTAATCTACAAAACTTCTATTAACGTAAATTATTAAAATTCATGTTTAATTATAATTGAAGAGATATCTATTGAAGGAGAAAGTGATTTAAAATAAATTATTATAATTGACAGCTGATATTATAGCACCTGACAGAAATCAGCTGATTTTGTTACCATCTACTTCCAAAAATATCACCACAGAGTGCGCTGCATGCTTAAGATTCAAATGTCATGCGCAATGAAATAACAAGTTCAAATAAGTATAGTATTTATATTATTAATTTTAATTTTTTGCCACTATAATTAATTTAAATAATCTTTATATTAAAAATAAAAATATGATTATTTAATTTTTTAAAAACAGAAAGAAATTTCAAATTTTATAATAAAATCATTTTTTAGACTTGAAAAATATGTTAAAAAAATTTATAAAAATAATAATGATGCTTTTATCACTATTGGTAAATTAATATATTATTGTTGCTCATTATATTTGAAAACTTATTTTTATAAATATGAGTTTATTTAAATTTTTTTTTTAAATATAAAATTAGTTAAATCATAATTTTTTTTGTAAAATCAAAATTAAAAAAAAAATTATCCCCTCCTTGTAAATTTTACAATTTATATCCAAAGGATCTAAAAATTTTTGTACTTTCGTGTAATTTTACAAGTAAATTCTAAGTAAACTTGATTTTGAAATTTGTTTTATACTAATTTTTTTTTCAAAAAATGTGATTCGACAATATTTAAATTTTATTTATTATAATATTATAATTATAATTTATTATAATTAATAATATTAATTACAATTTATTATAATTAATAATATTAATTATAATTAATTTTCGTCAAAATAAAATTTCTGCAACATTGATAATCGGTTTAAGAAAAATTGTGAAAAATTAATATTTTTACAATTTAATATTCTCCAAAAGTAATACTCTACAGAATAAGATTTTGTCAAATCATAATTCAAAAAAATTTATTTTAGAGCTTTTTCATGCGTCCCGTTTATCAAACAAAATTTTATTCATTTTTTCGAAAACAAAATTATCATTCAACAACTCTGAATAGATCTATTCAAAGTTGTTGAATGATAATTTTTGATTACTTTTCGACAAAACGATATTTTTTCAACAATTCAATTTTTTTTTACACGTACCTCTTTATTGCTTTAAAATTTTTTATATTTATTTAACTTTATTAAAACTGTTATTTTTTTGTATTAAAAATTTGTATACCTATAAATATATATATATATTTATAATGATTTCACAACATAAAAATTTTAGAATCGACAGCAATTTAGAAAACAATTTACCAGAAATTCAATTTAATCGAAAGATTATCTCGTATAGAATATTAATTTTGGAGAATAGTAATTTATATAATTTTAATTTTGCACAAATTAAGAATTGATCAAATACAATTTCTGGCAAATTAATTTTTGTCTATAAATAAAATTTCTACAACATTGATAATAATGTGTTTAATGTAAATTTTGCATAATTTTTATAGTAAAATTGGGATGTAGTATTATTTTATTAAATTGCATTTAAGTTTATATTTAAGCATAAATAAGATATAACATAAATTTACTTTTTAAATTATAATATATTATCATTACCGAGGGGGAATTTACTCAGGTAGTCAAGTGTACACTCTTCCTGTAATACTTGTGTAATAACGTGTAATACCGTGTAATAATGCGTTATTACAGTGCTGTAATAACGCAAAAAACTCTGTAATATCTCTGTAATAATTTGTAATACTCTGTAATAACGTGTAATACTTAGTAATAAGGGTAATATGAGGTGTAATACCAGTAGTCAAGTGTACACGTTTTTAACTAGTAAATTCCCCCTCGATCATTACATTTTTATTTGTTTATAATTGTTTTTTTAATGAAAAGTTTAACAAAAGGAATAATTTTTAAGAAAATGTGTTTTGTTGATATATAAATGTATGTAAAATAGTAAAAACACTGCTTTATTTCTAAAATGAAAAAAATTACACAGATAAAAGTTTATATTTCATCCCCAAAGTTTTTGAGGATACTAATTACAAATCCGTGGCCAGTTAATTAATGTAATTAAAGAAATTATTTGTTATTTTCTAAATGTAATTCTCTAAAAATTATGCAAATTCTATATTTATACACTCGAACTTGGTACAAAGATGTCTTTTTAATTCTTTTAGTTCTTCTTTCAGTAGTTAATATTTTTGAATTAGAATACTTGCTTTAGTGATGGCAACTAACTTTTCACGTCAGTTACAGTAAAACACAATTGCAATAAACATTTAATTTTCCAAGAAAACCAAAATAAGTGCTAAAATGACAACCCAAAATTTTTTCACAGTGACAGAAAAGTCGATTAAATAACAGAAGGAATGAGCAAACAACAAAATAAAATGACAGAAATTGTTCATTACAATGTAATTTAAAAATTTCAAGCATTTATTTAGCGTTATTGTTATTATGTTTGTTTAACGTGTTTTTGTTTATGACGCCGTTCGTCATGGTTGGGCCACCCACCAATTTTGTAATATTGTCAGGACGCATGATTATGTTCTAAAAATCATTAGTCATAATTTACATTTTATCGAATTTTATTTGTCCTAATTAGTTTTGAGCCGAATTTTTATTTGTTCGAAATAGCATTTGGCATAATTTACATCAAAGCGATTTTCTATATTAAAGAATTTTTATATAACGGAAAATTCAACTCACAGAATTTTTATTTCTTCGCATTTTTATTTGTCAGAACTTTTATTTGCTCGAATTTTCATTTAAGAGTGTCGAATGCTCTCTGAAATTCTTTGGCATTTAATAATCACCCTATACAAACGGCACTGAACGTGAAAATGATAAAAATTGAGTTTAAAATACTTTTCTCTTAAAATGCAGACATTTTTTTCAAAATCGGACAAAATACCAAGGATCCTTATCTTATAAATTTCTTAAATCCGAAAGATTGTGCAAATCTATACAAAAACGCAATTGTAAAATGAAAAGTACGAAAGTAATATAATTTTAGGTTTTATTACGTCCTGCAGCCGTTAGGTGGCAGAAGCATACAGGGAGCACAATGTCGCAGCTGTCATTATATTACTTTCGTACTTTTCATTTTACAAACGCATTTTTGTATAGATTTGCACAATATTTTGGATTTAAGAAATTTATAAGATAAGGATCCTTGGTATTTTGTCCGATTTTGAAAAAAATGTCTGCATTTTAAGAGAAAAGTATTTTAAACTCAATGTTTATCATTTTCACGTTCAGTGCTGTTTGTATAGGGCGATTATTAAATGCCAAAGAATTTCAGAGACCATTCGACATTCTTAATATAATAGGCATTTTAAAGAATTTTTATTGGGTAGAATTTCATTGAATAGAATTTTCATTCAGATGAATTTGCATTTGTTCGAATTATTATTTGATATAATTTCCATATAATCGATTTTTCATACTACAGAATTTTTACTTAACCGAAAAATCATTTAATAGAATTTCTAATTGATAGAATTTACATTTGCCCGAATTTGCAAATGGCCGAACAAACAATCGACTGAAAGGTGTCGGCGCGATTTTTAAAATCAACCAATTACAATTTCACCGCAGCCGCCGCCGCTGTTTCAGAAATTTTGACAGGGATGGGTCATTCCATGTCAAGTGTACCCAACCCATGTTTTTGACAAGGTTAGGTAAGGGTGAGCCAACCCATGTTTTTGACATGGATAGTACAATAGTTGGTTACACTTGATATGGAATGACCTATATGAATAGAAAAAAATAACCTAAATTTTAAGGTTATGTTCGTTTCAAGACTCTGAATAGGGCCGCAAGTCCTCCCCCCTCCCTTACCATCTCTCCGTACTTCCCACCAAAAATGACATAAATTTTGAGGTTATGTTCATTTCAAGACTTTCAATATAGCCGCAAGTGGAGGTAGATTTCCTGCCAAAAATGACCTGAATTTAAAGGTTATGTTCGTTTCAAGACTGTGAATATAGTCGCAAGCCCCCCTCCTTCCTTACGTTGAAGGAGAGGTGGATTTTTCGCCGAAATTGAACTAAATTTTAAGGTTAAGTTATTTTGTCGGGAAACGACCAAGAAACAAACATAACCTTAAAATTTAGGCCAAAATTTGTCGCAAAAAGACAAAGGAACAAACATAACCTCAAAATTTAGGTCAAACTTTGAACGAAAATGACCAAAAAAAATATATATGTATATGTGACGCTCCACGAGAAAAGGGACCTAACGCAACAAAAAATTAATTTACAGTTTTATGTGCGAATCGATAGTATTTGAGTTGCTCTTTCATATAGAAATGTGAAAAATAATATTTTTCTAATTACTTTTTTTGTAATAAAGCTTTAAACATGACCATGTCAATCGCGTTCCAGCACGGACTACGGAAACCATCCCCACCTCCACTACTACTAGTATACTTGTTGTATCCGTGAGACGTAGGAACGATGTAGTAGTAAGGTAGTGGGGCTGATATTCGCTGGCGCGTCTCAGCCAATCAGAACGTTCGACTTTAAACGCCTTTCCTGTGTATGGTCCATTCCACAATAGCTAAACGCAAAGTTAAAGCGCACGCAAAGATGACGCGCGCGTTGGTTTGGTTGGTTAGGTCCTTTCCAGAATGGAGCTAAACGCAACGCAAACGCGACGCATCCCCATTTGCTTAGCATTGCGATGCGTCGCGTCTGCGTTGCGTTTAGCTCCATTCTGTAGAGGGCCTTAGAACCAACGCGCGCGTCATCTTTGCGTGCGCTTTAACTTTGCGTTTAGCTATTGTGGAATGGACCTATAATTCTGTTTTGTCGCGTTAGGTCCCTTTTCTCGTGGAGCGTCACATATATATATATATATATATGTAGAATTCAATTTTTAATGTTTTCGATTAAAACAAAAAATATTATATATTTTCTTGAAAAAAATCATTCTATTTAAAAAAAAAAAATTGTACAATAAGGCAACGACCCAATGTGGCAGCGGAAGGTTAATAATAATGATTTTAATTGAAATTATCAAATTGACAACTACAATACTAGGCACGAACGCGGCTTATTCGCATTTGCGCAGGTGAATAGTCAGGAGTTTCTTATTAACATCTCGAAAGCCAGTCACGCTAACGTTTGAGTTTAGGTCGGGTCGTGTAAATTCGATGGAACAGTCAGGGTTAGTATTTCTTTGTGGTCAAGAGAATTGATACACATTTTCCATTCAGTTGGATTAAGTATAAACATCGTCGATCGAAGAATACCAAGGATGCGATGGGTGAGGGTGAGAGGGACCGTCTCAGCAAAAGGTATTGAGATGTCAATCACTCTCTTTATTTCTTTTTTCATAATTAAACACGATGTAAAAGAAAAAAATAATTAATTTCAAAAAAAAAACATTTTCTATTTTAAAACTTTTTATATATTCATTTTTTTTAATTTTAAAAAGTAAATTTTCTTCTTTAAAAAACTAAACCAAAAAACAAATATAAATGCAATTTGCAAAAAAAATTATGCATTATAAAAATTAATTTAATAAAAAGAAAGAAAAAATTTTATTAGTTTTAGGTAAATTAATTAAAAGCTTTACTAAATGTTGACCTCTCTATTTAAGTCCGATTCCAAAGACTGTATCCATTTATCACGTTAATGGTCAGGGACAGAAGTAGGAACAGGAAGACTCTGTCTCAGACAAAATTTATATAGATATCTTTGATGTGATATTCTTTTCAAAATGTTTAAAGACTTTATTTTGGATTTTATTAACATTCTTTCGTTACATCAAAATCAATTTCTTTCATAAAGTGTATTAAAAACAATAATATATTATATGTATAAAATTTACTGTGCAATACACAGAAAATTAAAAGGCATTAAAATAAGCTGCAACGCTTATTATTTTAATCCAATTTTGCTTATTTTAATACCAAAAATTTAATACTGTAAATTTGCTGTGAATAAATAAATAATAAATAAATAAAATATATTAATATTCAAAAAAAATTTTATTGGTAATTTGATGATTTTTTATTTTATTTATTTATTTTATTATTTTAATTTGATTTTTTGATTTTACTATTTTTATTTTGTTATTTTTTTATTTTAAGTTATTTTTATGTTTTAATTTTATTATTTTTCAATTTATTAAATAAGATTTATTATTACATTAATTAGTTTACTAAATAAGCTTATTTCTAAATATAAGGGAAAATAATGTACATACCTTTATTATTAATACTATTTATACGTAGTACACACAAAGTAGTATATATCCGTTGCGTGGAAGACTCATTGATGGTTTGCATTCATTGATGTGTCTCTTTATCAACCCATCATTCACATCCATAGACTGTCATTCTTGCTAAAAAAAAAGAGTCGTTATTGTACGCTAAATTTATTCCTTTTTTTAGAAATTATCAAAAAATTAATTCTCTAACTTTTTTTTACAGTTACTAAAACTATAAAACTGAATGTATTACAATTATTATTATATAATAATAAAATGCTTGGTCTGTCCTTCTGTCCTAACTTGAAGTTGGCCTTTCTCTGATTTCACGTGTTTTTTTGAATAGTAATCTTATGACGTGTCAAATTTTGACAATTCTTTTTCTCATTTTTGCCAAAGTTGTATAATTGTGTTTCCAAATTTCGGAATAAGTTTCTTTAAAATTACAAATTCGAAAATTCAATTCACGAAGCTGAAGTAACGTTTACAAAGGAAATTTTTTTTAAAGTTGTATATTGATTCAAAAATTGTAAACAAATACAAAAAATTTATCATGAGAAAAGAGATGCGCCAGGAAATTTCGTACAAGATAGTAATTTGAAAAAAATTTATTTTTAAAAATTAATTTTTAAGGAATAGGGGGCCAACGAATACCTATTAAATATTAATTATAAAAACACAGGCCTCGAATCAACTTAAAGACACAAAAAGTCGTTTTAGTCGATTTATATTCCAAAAAAAATTGGATTTGTTTTTTATTTTAAGAAAAATATTTTACAGATTTTTAAACAAAAAAATTTTTTTTAATAATAATCCTTTTCGAAGGGTTAAAGTTGAAATTTTTAGAAATAATTAAATTTCAAAAGATATTGTTAATTTTCAAACAATTATTAAATTTTACAGAACTAAAAATAATTTATCAAATAATTTTTGGAAAACATTTTTTAAATTTAATTGAATTTTCAAAGATTTAAAATTGAGATTTTTGAAATTAATTGAAACTTTAAGTGTTTTGTAATTAAAATTTTAGATGATTTCACTAAAAATTTATTAGAAAATGCGGACAAAATACAATAATTTGAAAATCATTTTTAATTGAATAATGGCTTCAGATAGTTGAATTTTCAAAGAATATTATTAAAATAGTTAAAAATAATTAAATTTCAGTTCATTTTGAATTGAAAATTTCGGGAAATAATTGAATTTTAATTGAAATTTTGGATAATAATTTAATTGAAGTTCATTTTTGATTGAAAATTTGGATAATTAATTTTGAATAGAAATTTTAGAAAATAATTGAATTTTATTTCATTTTAAATTGAAAACTTGGTATATAATTAAATTTTAAATTGAAAATTTTTGATAATTATTGGATTTTTAATTGAAATTTTAGAGTTATAATTGAAATTATTAAATTTAAAAAAAAAAGTTTTCGATGGAAAATTTTAGAAATAATTAAATTTTAGATGCTTTTAAATTCAAATTATTGAAAATTCAATTAATTTTGAATTGAAATTTTGGAAAATAATTGAATTTCAGTTTAAATTTTGGAAAATAATTGTACTTTAGTTAAATTTTAGTTGATTTTGAATTGAAATTTTCAAAAAGTATTGAATTATAGTAGATTTTGAATTGAAATTTTCGAAAATTATTGAATTTTAGTAGATTTTGAATTGAAAATTTGGAAAATAATTGAATTTTAGTTGATTTTGAATTGAAAATTTTGAAAATAATTGAATTTGAATTTAAATTTTAGAAAATAATTGAATTTTTATTGATTTTAAATTAAAAATTTTTAAAATAATTGAATTTCAGTTCATTTTGAATTGAAAATTTCGGGAAATAATTGAATTTTAATTGAAATTTTGGATAATAATTTAATAAATAAAAATAAATAATAAATAAATAAATTTAATTAAATTCTAACTCTGATTTTAATAATTTTCAATCTGACTTAGATCGACTGCAAGAATGGTGTCATCGTAACAAATTCTTCCTGAATATAAAGAAATGCTTAACTATCTCCTTCTCGAGAAAAAAAATTGTTTTTAATCATAATTATAAATTAGGAGATTCTTCTTTAAACCGTGTAACCCAGGTGCGGGATCTGGGGGTCATCTTGAGTGACAATTTATCTTTCTCTGAACATGTATCTTTTACAGTGAATAAGGCTCTAAGGTCTTTGGGTTTTATTATGCGGAGTGCTTCTGATTTTAAAAGTTTAATTTCCTTAAAAATACTTTACTTTTCATTTGTAAAATCTATCCTTGAATTTGCCTCCGTTATTTGGTTTCCCCACTACTTTGTTCACATCATTAGATTGGAAAGGGTACAGAATCGTTTCTTGCGCTTCTTGGCCAGACAACTCGGTGTTGGTTATGATTTTTTCTCTCATAATTATGATGAATTACGTTCGCGATTTAATATTCCTAAAATTGAGACCAGATTTTGTTATAACGACTTACTTTTTTTGTTTAAAATTATCAATGGTGTCACAAATTGTCCGGCGATACTGTCAATGATAAATTTCTGTTCGCCAACTAGACAATTAAGAAATTCCTCCTTATTTTATATTCAACATCATAGAACTAATTATGGTAAAAACTCTGTCATTAATCGACTATGTCGCGAAGCCAATCTGTATAGCGAGAATCTTGATCTCTTTGGCGTTAGTTTGAGAGGATTTATTACATCCTTGCGCACAACTCTTTTTAAAAATCGTTCTAATAATACCAGGTCGTTCATTGCTTAAAAGTTTTTCTTTTGTTTTTGATTTTGGACGCCTTTGGTCCAATTATGTATATACATTTATATTTTTGCATTTTTATGTATAGGGCTTCTCATGCCCGTGTATAACTTTAAATAAATAAATAAATAAATAATTTAAGTTCATTTTTGATTGAAAATTTTGATAATTAATTTTGAATAGAAATTTTAGAAAATAATTGAATTTTATTTCATTTTAAATTGAAAACTTGGTAAATAATTAAATTTTAAATTGAAAATTTTTGATAATTATTGGATTTTTAATTGATTTTGAATTAAAATTTCGGGTAATAATTGAATTTTAGTTTATTTTGAATTGAAATTTTTAAAAAATAATTCAATTTTATTGTGATATATTTTTTTTTTAAATTATAAACAATTGTTAAATTTCATAAAAATTTTAATTGAAAAATAATTTTGATATAATTGAATTTGTGATGTATTTCATTAAAATTATTAAAAATAATTAATTTAGTGAAGAATCATTTTAGTTCAAAATTTGTTAAATAATTGAATTGAAGAAGATCTGAAGAAGATCTACATTTTATACTAGAAAAATGTATTTCATTTACATTTTCTTTTCAAATGTAAAAAAAAATGTCGCATTTTATTAAAATAAGTTGATAAAAGTCGTATTTTTGAAAAAAGTCGGAAATAGTCGTATAATCCGAGGCTTGTAAACATATAATTTCCATTATTATTATTTAATATGTAATAATATTCTAATAAATTAAATTATTATTGATAATATTAATCTTTAATTTCTTTATAACAAACAATTAAATACTGAATTTGGCGCGCATTTAATTTTGCTAGTTATTTATAAAAGCTGTAAGAAAAAAAAGAAACATAGAACTTTAAACGCAAGTAAATAAATAAATATAGAAAATCAATAAATGAAATTTATTATTTCTCAGCAAAAATTACAAGTGGAATATTACAATGAAAAAAATGATTTATTTAATTCAAATAAACGTTTATTTATTATCAAATAAATATTTCCTTAAACCAAATAATTTAAATTTGAGTAAATTTTGAATAAAGAAAAAATTTTAAAATATTTTCTTAGAAAATTAAAAAACTTTATAGTAATAAAGTGGAAATAAAAAAAAATTAATGCATTTCATTCTCATTTTCTTTCTTCATTCGTTTATTATATTAAAAGTGCTTTTTAATGTGCAAAAAAGATTGGCACAGTTATTTATTGAGGTCATTTTAAATGAGCATTAATGGTGATTGAAAAGAGTGTAATCAGATTGATGATAGGCGAATTTTAAAGCATGTTTTAATTTCCTGATTTTCAATCGAAATTGATGACCTGCCAAACCTTCTTTTTCATCAGATTATATTCTAATGACCAATGAATTAAACACATAGAGACGTTCTTGGTGGCCTGTTAAATTTTTTTTTTTCTTAAATTGAATAAGTGTATATAACCTTTACCTATAGTATCCTATAAATATAATGAAGGACGATTTATAATAGTTGAAAGGATGTTTTGTATATATAAATATAGACATGCAATGATATTAAGTTATTTCTTTAAAAAGAAGTTTTTACTTTTTCGTACATATTTTGAAAAAATTAAGAAAACAACTTTTTAAATAGATAGAATAGTAGATTCGAATATTTGGGTCAAATTTTTCTTTTCTTTTTTTTTTTGAATTTTCTAAAATTGAATTATGTATTTTTCATAAAGAAAAAATCGTAATTTTTACCTTCAATTTTCTTTTTTTTCCCGAATTCCCATTTTTTTCAATTATTTCCTATCTATAATTTTATATTTTTTTTAAATTTTCGATTTCTTTTACTTCCTAAAATTTTTATTTTGTCAAACAATTTTTTCTCAAAAAATTTTTTGTTTAGGAAATTCCAAAAATTTATTTATAATTTTTATTAACTAGTTTAAAATTCTTAATTTTTTTCCGAAATTTTTCTATTTTCTTTATGAAATTTCTAAAATTATTGTTGATTTTTCTTTTCAGTTAACATTGTATTTCCTTAAATTTTCTTTTTTCTCATTCATTTTATAAAATTCTCCAATTTTTTTTTTTTTTTTTTTTTAATTTCTTTATTTTAGAATAACTAAAATAATTCTCTATTTTTCATTCAATTTCTTTGGTTTTTTACTTTCTTTTTATTTTTCAGAATTTCTTGTGCATTTTTTTTTTTTTGAAATTTCTAAAAATTCTATTTTTCTTTCAATTTTTACGACTATCTGTAATTTTTTTTTTCATTTTTCTAAAAATCTTGTGTTTTTGAAAATCATTCTCGATTTTTTCTAAAAATTAAATTTATTTTTATTTATCGTCGATTTAAAAAAATGACACAATGGTTAGGGGATGAAGCAACAAGTTCAAGATTAAAGATAGTGCATCATATTATATTTGTAACTACATTTTTTTTACAATAATTAAAATTATTTTTCTTTTTTGGATAAATCTCAAAAAAAATTTCAAGTTAGAAAAAAAAGTTTATTGTCTTTTTTATCCAATTTATTGGAATTAAAAAAAAGAAAAAAATTTTTACTTTTTTTCTATGTCCCAATTTTTTTTGGACTTATAAAAAAATTATTATTATTTCACAAAAAATAAAAAAAAGATTTAACTGTTTAAAATTTTAAAGAAAAGATGTAAATATTTGTGTCGGTGTATCGCTTACAACTCTATAATGTAATATATAGAATTTTTAAAAATGATGCAATTTTGGTTTATGATAATTTATTTTCTACAGAAATAGATTATCTACAACTTCACAGAAGCTTTTTTTTTATAAAATGCACCCTTTTTGTAAAATGATTATCTATTTTAAAAAAAATTGCACTTTATTTATTAAATAAATAAATAATCATATTTACAAAATCAATGAATCAGTTTTAAAAATTGTCTTTGGTGAATTCATATAGAAAAATTTATTTATATGTCGAAAGTAAGCCATTATAAACCAAATAATTGCATCTTTTTTTAAAAATACGCACAATAAAGTTACGAGAAAAAAGTTTAATTAACTATAATAATAAAAGAAAATTTTTCAAATTTAAAAAATGTAATTTTTCCATAAACTAAGATTTTAAAGAAATTTTATTAATAAAATTCAATTCACAATTGTCATGCAATAAAAGCGATCTAATAAACACCAAACAGCCTTTTCCGCATTAAAAATAATTATTATAATTAAAAATTTTTTTTTATTTTTAATAAACTTACAAAAAATTTATTTAAAAAAACTTTTTAAAGCACATAAATCTGCAAGTAAATTATTATTGGACACAATGGAATATCAGAATTAGGTTTATAGACCATAAACCTGACTTCCCTCCTCCTCACATAAAAAATTATTTTTCTCGAAATGAGTTGCCATTTAAAAAACTCTTAAGGAGAACCTTAAAGTTTATAATTTGGCAAACTATTAAAATTCAACAACGAAAAATTAGGAGAACAAAATTTTTGAAATAATCTAAATAATTTTTAGCTTCGACATGAAAAAAAATCGAAGTCGAAATTGACATTTTTTTTATTTAATTATTTAAGAAGAAAAAAAAATTATTAAGGTAAATGGTAACAAAAACTATTAACTTTTAAATTTTCATTCGATTTTTTTATTCGTATATTTTATGAAACAGTTTTAAGTTTTTGACAAAAAAAAAATCAGTTTCCTTACATTTTTGTCTTAAAAATATCGTAACTTTCGTAATTTTAAACTTTTTTTATTGCCCTTGGGCTTATTATTTTTAGTTTTTAAACTCTTTTAAAGAAATTTACATGCAAAATGAAAAATATTGATAAACAAGAATTTTAGAACGAAAGGCATTTTTCAATTTTTGTTTTTCTAAAATTTGACAAGTTTTAAAGGTTCTTTTTTTTGTTCCTTGACTTATTTTTTTACTTTTTAACAGTATTTTGAAAAATGTCGTCAAAAATAAAGAATGTTAATAATTTGCAATAATATCTTATTTTTTTTAAGAAAAAAAAGGAAATAAATTGGTCTCAAAAAGGAATTTTTTTTCAAAATTTTTATTTTAAAATAAATTTGTTTTTTTTTCTAAACAAAAAAGCAAGAAACCTCATTTTTTCTGCCATGAACTTAAATTTCCTTATTTTTCAAGTAGAATACTATTTATTTATCAACTAAAAATTATTCAAAGTCCAGAATTGGAGAAAAGATTTTTTTTTTCACCTTGACAAAAAAAATTATGCTGAAGCCCACAACATTTATGATCAATGATTAGAAAATAAATAATTTTTTTGAAATGGAAAATTATAAAATTTTTTATCTAAAAAATTATTTAAAATTTTTTTATCAATAAATATTGCAAGAAAAATATTTTTGAAACAAAAATTAATAGAATTTTTCATTCAAAAAAAAGGGGTGCATCATTATTCCCTATAATAATCATTAATATTAGAATTTTTAATTCAAAAATTTTATTAGAAATAATTATTTTTTAGACGAATTTTCATTTTTCAAATTAGCATTTGACAAAATTTTATTTTTAATATAAAAAATGTTTACTTAACAAAATTTTTAACTATCGAATTTTTGTTTAGCAGATTTTTTATTTAAACTGTCATTTTCTTTACATGACTTTTCATATAAAATAATTTTTATTTAAAAAACTTTTTAATTCAAGCCAATTTTAATTTTAAAAAATTTTCAATCAATCGAATTTTTAAATGACAGAAATTCCAATTCACCGAATTTTAATCTGTTCGAATTTTTATTTGTACGAATTTTTAATTGAAAGAATTTTTAAAACGAGTAATTTTCATTTGATCGAAATTACAAATGACGAAACAAACAAACGACAGAATGAATTTCGGCACCATTTTTTAAAACTGACCAATTAAAAATTATTTTAAAAAAATCGTGATTGGTTAATTTTAAAAATTACGACGAAATCTTTCTGTCGATTGTTTGTTCGATCATTTGCAATTTCGGACAAATGAAAATCGAGCGCCTTAAAAATTCTATGAATTAAAAATTCGTAAAATTCGAATCAGATAAAATTCGACTGTAAAATATAAAAATTCTGCCAAACGAAAATTCGGTAGCTGAAAATTTTTTTTATGTAAAAATTCGTATAAAAAGAGAATCTATCAAAATTTAATTTGAAAATTCATCTAAAAAATGATTATTTCTAATAAAATTCTCTAAAATAAAAATTTTAATTAATGACTTTTATATGGGAAATTCATGCGCCACAAAAAAAAATATTTCTTTAAAAATCGTTGAACATAAACGATGTGAACTTCAGCAGTATTGAAAAAAGTTATATCGAAAAGGATTTCACTTAAAAAAAAAAACAATTCTCTAAAAGAACTTTAAAGAGCTTAAATTGTCAGTTTAAAAAAAAAATCGATAAATACCCGGAAAAAGAGGTATATTTATATATATGTATAAAATAAGAGAGTAAAATTATTCGTTTGAAATAAAAAAAAAAAAAAAAAAAAAAAAAAAAAAAAGAAAATGAATAATTTGAAGTAACAATTTGAAGAGGTATTTAGTGAAAATAATAATACATAAAAAGCAGATGATAAATTTCAGTAAGCTTGCTTTATGTATATAGAAAGGATTTCGAACCCTCTTGGCAGGTGGTTCACCAGGGTATATCGCGTGCCAAGAAATGCCTCAGATTGAATCGCACTAGTGAGTTTCTACAGGGAAAAACTACTGACCCGATGTTAACGTCTTGTTGCGTGTGCGTGAGTCCACCTTAACGGATCTAAAGCGGACATTTATTTGTCGGCGCATGCAAATGTATCGTAGACACCACAAACCAAGTGGTGAACAAAAATCTGGGTTACTGTGTCATTGTACGAGAACCCTTCGATCTGTCTAAAGTCCTTTCATGACCTGCAACAATTCCATTATATTTTACATTCATATTGGGACACTGAAAACAAAGAATCAAATTACAAAATATCCTCAAGAAATCTTCAATATTTAATTTCATTAATAATTTTATTTTATTTTATTTTTTTTATTTATATTTAAAGTATTTAAAAAATTGTAAAAATAAATATTATCAAATATTTAAAATTATTATATAATATTAAAATGCTTGGTCTGTCCTTCTGTCCTAACTTGAAGTTGGCCTTTTCTGATTTCACGTGTTTTTTTGAATAGTAATCTTATGACGTGTCAAATTTTGACAATTCTTTTTCTCATTTTTACCAAAGTTGTATAATTGTGTTTCCAAATTTCGGAATAAGTTTCTTTAAAATTCCAAATTCGAAAATTCAATTCACGAAGCTGAAGTACACAACGTTTATCAACAAAATTTTGTTTAAAGTTGTATATTGATTCAAAAATTGTTTACAAATACGAAAAATTTATGATGAGAAAAAAGATACGCCAGGAAATTTCGTACAAAATAGGTAGTAATTTGAAAAAAAATTTATTTTTAAAAATTAATTTTTAAGGTACCAGGGGCCAAAGAATACCTATTAAATATTAATTATAAAAACACAGGCCTCGAATCAACTTAAAGACACAAAAAGTCGTTTTAGTCGATTTATATTCCAAAAAAAAATTGGATTTGTTTTTTATTTTAACAAAAATATTTTACAGATTTTTAAATAAAAAAAATTTTTTTTTAATAATAATCCTTTTCGAAGGGTTAAAGTTGAAATTTTTAGAAATAATTAAATTTCAAAAGATATTGTTAATTTTCAAACAATTATTAAATTTTACAGAACTAAAAATAATTTATCAAACAATTTTTGGAAAACATTTTTTAAATTTAATTGAATTTTCAAAGATTTAAAATTGAGATTTTTGAAATTAATTGAAACTTTAAGTGATTTTTAATTAAAATTTTAGATGATTTCACTAAAAATTTATTAGAAAATGCGGACAAAATACAATAATTTGAAAATCATTTTTAATTGAAAAATGGTTTTAGATAGTTGAAATTTCAAAGAATATTATTAAAATAGTTAAAAATAATTGAATTTCCTTAGAGTTATAATTGAAATTATTAAATTTCAAAAAAAAAATAATTTTCGATGGAAAATTTTAGAAATAATTAAATTTTAGATGCTTTTAAATTTAAATTATTGAAAATTCAATTATTTTGTATTCAAATTTTTGAAAATAATGAAATTTTATTTGATTTTAAATTGGGAAAATAATTGATAATTATTGCATTTTTAATTGATTTTGAATTAAAATTTTGGGTAATAATTGAATTTTAGTTTATTTTGAATTGAAATTTTTAAAAAATAATTCAACTTTATTGTGATATATTTTTTTTAAATTATAAACAATTGTTAAATTTCATAAAAATTTTAATTGAAAAATAATTTTGATATAATTGAATTTGTGATGTATTTCATTAAAATTATTAAAAATAATTAATTTAGTGAAGAATCATTTTAGTTCAAAATTTGTTAAATAATTGAATTGAAGAAGATCTGAAGAAGATCTTCTTTTTATACTAAAAAAATGTATTTTATTTACATTTTCTTTTCAAATGTAAAAAAAAATGTCGCATTTTATTAAAATAAGTCGATAAAAGTCGTATTTTTGAAAAAAGTCGATAAAAGTCGTATTTTTAAAAAAAGACGGAAATAGTCGTATAATCCGAGGCCTGTAAACATATAATTTTCATTATTATCATTTAATATGTAATAATATTCTAATAAATTAAATTATTATTGATAATATTAATCTTTAATTTCTTTATAACAAACAATTAAAAACTCAATTTGGCGCGCTTGTGCGCGTTTAATTTTGCTAGTTTAATTAATAAAATAACTAAATTATTCGATTTTATTTCTATTCAATATACAAAAATATAAAAATCATCATTTTTAAAAGATCCTTTTTTTCACATTATAATTAAATTCATTTTTAAATTTATTATTCATAGGTCTTTATTTATAAGTTTCTATTTCTTATTCCGACAAGTTATTTTCGTTTTCTTCATCATAGATAAAAAAAATTATTTGCATAATAAACTTCAAGTTTATAAATTTTCATAATGTACTTGTAATTATCCAATTTTCCGGATTAAAAAAAAAGAGAAAAAATAATATTATTTAAGGGAATGACTAAAGCTTTCTGTATTACTTAAAAAAAAAAGTGATTAATTGAAGTTATAACAATGACGTGCGTGATAAAGTGAAATAAGAAAAATAAAAGATTGTAACTTATACTCTTTTATGTCAAAAACATAGAAATTATGAAATAAAAATATTTTTTATTGTACATTTAATAATGATAAATGTAAAAAATTGTTAATTCATATAAAAACCTACATGGAAAAAGTAATTAATAAAAATAAATAATAATTAATTAATTTTTAATAAATACATTTTTTTAAATGTAATAAAAAAATTTTAATAATCCTTATATTTAATTAAATTTTGAATAATTTTTTTTTTTAATTTCAATAATTTTTATTTTTAAATTTGAAGAAATTTTTTTTTTTTTGTGAAATAAATTTTTGTATTTTTTTCTTTTTTTTTATAAATTATGAAGTGTAATGTAAAATTACCAAAAAATTGGCAGCGGTGGGATTCGAACCCACGCCTCCGAAGAGACTGGTGCCTTAAACCAGCGCCTTAGACCGCTCGGCCACGCTACCTCGAAGGGGGAAATCCTAATGACAGATTCTGTCGAATATAATAGAATGCAACCTGTTATACAGAGAAAATCGAAGAAAGATATTAAACAGGGGTCGATTTTGAATTTCGCGCGTAAAATGAAGTTTCAGGCATGCGTATAGAATCTCAAATTCAAAAATTTGATCTGATTGTAACCAGTTTTATCTTGAGTAGGTAACGTAACGGTGGATAAAGACAAAACATACAATTAAATCAAATTGTTATTTCATTAATCGTGAGAAATTAATATTTAACATACATTTCATATATAAATGTAAGTGAATGTAATTGAAAAATATTTTAAGCGCAAATTCAAGCATCAAACACTGAACAAACAGTTCAGAAGAAAAACAAAACAGTAAACAATATAAAATTCGTTTATACTTACGTGCAATAAATATTAACACCACACACATAGCAAATTTGAAATTTTTTTCACCTCGTTTTATTTTGGATATCTATTGCGACCAACTAGAATTTTATTTCGTAAACACAAAACTAAGGGTATGACCATATCGTTTCTGTTATAAATAAGGTTAAGTTCACTTGTCTGTCACTTGTTCATGATCATAGTCTCAGAGTGCAGTCGCTCGTGCGTTCTTGATTTTTAAGCAGAGAGACTGCACCCTGAGATAAGAAAATAAACTACCAATCCGTGTATCACTTGTAGAAAGAAATAACAGGGAATACCCGCCAAAATTTATGCTAGTGAAAATAGTTTCATTATTACTTCATGTGATTATTTTTTTCTTTCAATAAATAATTTTTTTATTTGTTACTTAACACTATACTTCGACCCTCTCCCCTCCCCCATCGTAACAAGACCATAACAGTGTCTGGTAACCCTCCCCCCTCCCCCCTTGAGCGTGACGTAATATATGGACGGCCCCTAAGCGCTAAATTCAAAATTGTCATCTATTTAAAAATATCTTTCATTCATATTTTTTTCCATAAAAAATAACCTCAAAATTAAAAAATTATTTTTAACCGCAAACAAAAATTTAATAAAAATTTATTTTAAAACAATTTTAGAAGATTCAGTAATATACTTACAGGAAAAAAATATATTAAGTTAAAATCTTTAGTTGAATAATTATTTATTTAATTGAAATTTTTATTTCAAGTTAGACAAAAAATTGAAATTTTTATCCAATTTTTATAAACGATAGCTTATTTTAATCAGTGAAATATTCTTTACAAATTTTTTTAATAACTAAAAGTAAATTTAAAAAATTTTGAACAGAAATTTGATTTATTAAATAATTTTTTTTTTAAATTAGATAAAAATTGCGATTTTTGTCTGTTTTTGAATGAAAAATGTGAAAATTAAACAAAAAATTATTTGGTCAAGAAAAAAATTATTTACAAAACATTTAGAAATCGTGAAAGTTCAATAGCAAAAAAAGTTCGAAAAATTAAAAAATTTCTACAAAAAAAATAAATTTAAAAAAAAATAAATATTTTAATGATAAAAAAAAAATTTTAACTTTCAATATGGTTTTAATAGTCGATAATATTTTTTATCCAGTTTTTTTTTGCTCAAAACAATAAATAAAAATTACTAATTGAACAATTTTGTGAATTTTGAATAGACTTACATAAATTATAATAATTTTATAATAATTCCTCTCTGTTATAATAATAATAATAATTACTTTTTAAAAGTACACAATCGAGAAAATTAAATCTAAATCTAAAAAAAAATAATAATTTTAATTAAAAAAAAAATTTTAATTGAAATTTTTAAATTATTATTTTTGTATATTTTTTTATACAATAAATCTTTTTAATTAAATTCACAGTTTTCCTAAAAGTATCAAATTGAGACCAAAAATTGCATAAAATCTTTGCAACGTTTTGATGCAATTTGTCGATAAAATCAATATAGCCGAGCTTTTTAGAAGGTAGATAGCAGTTTTGCTTTTTATAAAAACGATTCAGAAAAAATTTAAAGAAAGAAAATAGATGAGTGCTGCCATCTATCTTCTAAAAAGCTCGGCTATATTGATTTTATCGACAAATTTTTTATCATGCATTTTAGGTTATGTTTATAAGCTGTCACTTTTTAATTATCGAATTGCACATTGTCTTTGATTTTCTGTTATTTTCATTTTCAAATTAAATAGTGAAATGGTCTCCGCAATTGTACTATTACCAAAATATCTGAACAAAAGTCGTTTAATTTTGAGTCGATTCAATTCGGCCATGATTGATATAAATTGATTAAATTTTTTGCATCAAAAAATGAGACCGTTTCGTGTATCATTTCTAAAAATTATACACAAAACGATCTCTTTTTGATATAACTTATGTGCATCAAAACGTTGCAATAGAAAAAGATACAACCAAGTTTACTGTGTATTTACAATAGCTTTAAAAACTTTGATTTAAATATTAAAACATTTTTTTGTATATAAAATTTTGTAAACTTGAAAATTTTTGAAAAATTACATACTTTTTTCATGATTTTCAAAAACGTTTTCAAATTTCTTATCTATTTTCATGATTTTCAAATTCTGGAGAAACACTAAAATCATAAAAAAATTACTACTATTTTACTAAATAATTAATTTTAAAAGTGAATAAAAATGAATTAAAAAAAATATTTTTCGCATTTCTTTAAAATTTTTTAAATTTTAATATATAATTTTTTTTAAATTGTAAAAACAATTTTTATTAATTATATATGAATTTCTTAAATAAAATTTTGTCACTTCAAATCTTTTCAATTTTTATACTTTTTTTTTACAAATTTTTACAAAACAAGTCCAATTACTAATACTTTACAATTGTATGATAATTCTAAAGATATTCTAAATTCGCAATATTCATTTTTTTTTCAAAAGCAAATTAATATTTCTCTATAGCATGCAAAAAAACGATTAACTTTTAATAGAAAAAAAAAAACTAAAGTAACACGAAATACGAGATAATTTTGCGGTCCAGCATATTTCAGTGACCCTGACGATATTCGTACCTAGGACTATTTTAATAAAAAAAAAAAAAAGAAAAGAAAAAACATGTTATAGTAAAAGGAAATGAATATGACAAATGGTACGAATCTCCTATATAATATTTGATAGTTCTCGTGATAGAAAGTCATTATTTCGACAAAATGCCTTATTTTTCAAATGTCTTTTTTTCTCATTTTTATATACTTCTCTGTGGTTACCTCAATGTATAAAGATCGATGCGTCTCGTCGGTTGGTTCCTCTGTAATGGCATGCACTATAAAGTACAGGTACCACCCTCTCTTCCTGTACCTTCCACCAGCTCTCAACGAATTCCCATATTGCTCCTCTTTCACCCCTTTTCACTCCTGACCTACCATTCTAAGTCAAAAAGATTTCAGTTTGATTCAGACGAGCAACCGAAATACTAGCCTCTTTAACTTTTTTTTATTCTAAAAAAATAAAAACAGAAAATTTTAATAATTACACATATTTTAAATTAACATCAAATTGAAGTGTAAAAAATTTTTTTTTATAATTTTATACTGTTAAAAAAAATCTTCAAAAAAAAAATTGATAGAATAAAAATATACTTCTTCATTTTGAAATTAAATTTCCGTTTTTTTTTTGCTTACGAAAATGTTTTCAAATTGATTTTTAAAAAAATTATTCCTACACTGTATTTTTATACCAATGTATTGTAAAATTTATTACATTTGAAATTAAAAAAAAAATAAATAAATATCTTTTCAAATAAAGGCAAAAGTCTTCCTATGGAATTGACAAATCATCCTCGGATACAGAGTTAGCGCGTGGAAAAAATAAAAATCGCCGACAAAAAAGCAAGGAAAAATGGCCCTTCGTCGAAGGTATTTCGGTCGATGAACTTGCTCGATTTCGAAGGAAAAAAATTAAGGATCAACCAAAAGACACATTAGGATTGAGTCCAACGGAGGAATTATCACCAAATATTGTTACGGAATATCGACGAGCTTTTTGTGCCGATCCTGATGACACATTCGACTCAAACAAGGTTAATTAATTTAATTTTTTTTTAATCGAAAAAAAGAAAAAAATTTTTCATATTTCATGTAAAAGTAATATTTGAAGATTGTTGAAATTTTACAATTTTTTTATATATAGAAAAAAATATTAAAATAAAAAAATAATAATTAAAATTTAATAAATAAAATTTAAAGTTTTTAAAAAAATTAACAATTCTTTTTAGAGCACTTTGAGGACTAAAAGATCTGAAAACAATTTGCAACCGGATGAATTACGAAATACTCAGGAACCTATAGAGAACCAAAGTCAGTTAGAAAGCAATTCAAATAACCCAGAACAACTGCCAAGCAATTTATCTTTAACTGATGGCCAAGGAATTATGGAGACTGAAGTAGATACCTCAAAATTAAATGCAAATCTTATAAAAAGGTAAATGCTTTTTTCTTTATTTTCAAAATTAAATGCAATAAAAAGGTAAATAGTTTTTTTTTTATTTTCAAAATTTAAATTTATATATCCTTTTTTAATTTATTTTAAAAGATATAGTACCGTCGACTGGGGCTATTATACTCAAAAAAAAATTCTACTTTTTATTTACTTAGTACTTCATCAAAATTAGGAATTAAAAAAAAAATTTCAACTCTTGTGTTATGTTGTGGACATTCGTCTGAAAATTTTCAGTAAGTTAGACGACAAAAAAAATTGTTTAACCAGAGTAATGGAAATTTAAAGTGGTGAGTATAATAGTCCCAATCGTTGAGGCTATTATACTCAGCAAAGTTTGTTTATTTATAAAATATCCTCAACATTTTTTTATACAGCTTTAACTATATGAAATCATTTCTATATATAGTCTAGATTATGATAAAAAAAAATAGAAAATCTAAAAACAAATTTTTATAACAAAATTGTTTAATAAATTTGAAAGTTAAACATTAAAATTTTACTAAAATCTATAATTTTATTAAAAAAAGGTAACATTTTTAGGTTAAGTTAACAACTGAATATAATTTCCAACAAGTTTTTTAAGTTAGTTTAGGAAAAAAAGTTAAAAAATTAACTTGAAGAACATATAAATATTATAATGAGTTACTTTTTTGAGGTTATATGTTGTACCCTGTGAAATATTATAATTATAATTTATCCAACTTATATTCTTTTCTTTAATAAAATTTTTTTATAAGAAAGAGAATCATCATTTTTTGAAGTAAAAGTGCGACTTTAAATAAAGTTTTATCGACAAAAGATAAAAAATTAAAGTATATTTTTATGAAATTGGATTATTGTACCTATTTGTGAACTCTAAATTTTTTATTGCACCGATTTGTGAACAAAGATGAATCTATTTGTAAATAGGAGATTGAATTTAAAAAGTTATTTCAGTAATTTCATTTCATTAATTATAATAATTAAATTATTAACTATTAATAAATGTAAAATAATTAAATATCTCTTATTTAAACGATTTAAACTCACCTGATTTTATGAAATTTTATCTTTTATTACTGGATAACATTTTTAGGTTAATCTGTCAAAGGACAAATGATAAAAAACTAAAAAATAACTCCATATTTGCGCTGATCGCGCAGAAATATATCAACATTGTAAAAGTATTTATTTCTTTAAAATTATTTTAATAACACTTTTATGGTCATAAAATTCTATTTATTATTATTATTACAAAAAAATGTTATATAGAATAAAAAATAAATATTTGCAATATTAATTTGCATTTATATAAGCAACTGTTTACAAATTGGTACACCTTCACAAACTGGGTCATTTACCTTAATACCTACAGCACTTAGCGCCCTCTCGCCAGGAAATAAACCTGTATTCACTTTTGTTTTGAATCGGTAGAGAGCTGTAGTGAAATTCGCATTTTTAAAAAGAAATTTCCGATTCAAGTCGTTATTTAATTTTCAAAAGTTATTTTTTTTTATTTAATAATAGTATGTTTATCGAAAATAATATGTATTTTTTCAAGTTCAAAAAAGTATCATGAAGTTTAAGGGTATGTCCAACATGTGAAATGTAAACAAACATGAAGTGTAAACAAACCATGCACATTTTTTCGCACTTCTCATTTGTGTAGAAAATAAAAATTTGTCGTTTTCTTTATGAAAATGGTAAATTAATGTATTAAAGTTGGTAACTATACTTTATTTAACTAATTATATGAAAAAATAAGTACAATTATAATGAAATGAAAAGTACACTGAATTAGCAATTTTTTCAAGGTTACGAAAAAAAACCATTTGAGTATATCTGAGGCACTGACGTTGATCACCTAGGTGGGAGAAAGAGTTGAGCCATTGGACGGTCACATCTTGGAAAGAGTAAAATTCTGAAATTTTACCCCTTCTCTCATTTTCTGCCACCTAGGTCCTCGCAACGTCCGTGCCTCAGATATACTCGAATTCTTAAATTTTTCGTAACCTTGAAAAAATTGCTAATTCAGTGTACTTTTCATTTCATTATAATTGTACTTATTTTTTCATATAATTAGTTAAATAAAGTATTGTTACATTTCACAGGTTGGACATACCGTGAACACTCTAACAATATTATTATTTATTTAAGTAACTCAATTATTTGCAATTTCTAAATTATGTGCGAAACATGACAACCTAACCAAAAAATTATCGCTCTTATTCAAAATTGTCAAAATAGATTCAATAAATTTCTTATTATAGTGATAGGAAATTAATAATTAAAAAGAACTCCTATTCAAATCGCTACATTCCGATTGGAAAATGTCAATTATCAATCCGCATTCTTAAATTACTTCGATTCCTGAATGCATTCATTTAATATGAAAAACTATTCAAACATTGAAAAAACGGTAGAAAATGCATAATTCTTGATATATACAGAAAAAGAGAGTATAAAAATACCTCGATCTAGGAAAATTTTTCCAAAAAATCACTTTTTAACTGACAGTATACTGCTGTATTTGACATTTTATGGGCAAAGAAGAGAAGATTATGATAATGAGTGACACTTCATTATCGACTCTCAATATTTGTCGAATGGTAAAATATAATAGTAGATTTCAGGTAGTCCGACGCTTTCTCTGGTAAAGATTTATTCAAGAATATTTGCCCATTGAGAAAATCAAGGTAAAACCGTATATTGCAGCATTTGCAAACTATTACATTCTAGTGGATTTGAATCCGCAAAACAAGTAATAGAAGATTTCTTTGTTTTTTTGAAAAAGGAATAATTATTGAATTAAAAATTTTCTTACTTTTATATTTCATTTATTGTTATGTTTTTATTATATGTTTATATTTTTTTAGTACTAATTTAAATATTTTTATTTAAATTTTAATTCAATTAATTAAATTAAAAATTAGTTTAATTATTTAAAATTAATTTAATTATTTGAAATTATTTAGTACAAAAGTATAATTATAATTATATATTATTATTAATTAATAATATTATATTAATATTACTTATATTATGTATTGTAATATATATTATAATTATACATCAAATAGACAAAATTTTAAAAATTGTTAGAAATAAAATATATATATATATATTCACAAGTGAAGGATGGCACAATCGTTTCCGTCTACTTGTGGGAAAACACCATCCCGACTTATATTTGGCTTTAAAAGAATTCCAAAAAGAACAGGCGGATTCGGATATTATGATAGCCGAACTTAGTTTGGGGCGATCAGTAAAAACAGGTCCCAAAAAGAAATGGATTGAAGTCCAAAATCGCTTACGGTCCATTGTATTACAATATGAAGAATACAAAAATTCTGGCACTATTTCCTTATATTCAACATTATTGGCACACAACATTGCTCTATGATGGACTCCATTTATTTTGATAAATAAAGTTCCTTTTATTATTTAAAATTATTATTTAACTGTCGGGACTTGTACTTTCGGGAACATGGTTGTCGGGAAATTGGATTCAGGAAAAGTAACTGTCGGGAAACAGGATTCGGGAAAAAGGACGGGATTTATTTATAAAATGAGGAAAAGTGTCCAGTGTTAGTAAAACAATTGAATATTTAAATAATATTCTTTTTATAAAAATTGACGAATTAGATGAAAGTGAATTAAAATATGATCAACCATCTAATTTAAAGAGAAAATGTTCAACATCCTTTTCTTTGTCAACAATCAATGCTGTCGACAGTAATGACAAAAATGATTCCAACGAAATTAATAAAAAATTCATGAGACAAATTACAATCGATAAAATTGTACAAAGAAATAATGAAAATAAAATTTGTTGGGGTTTCAGCAAGCTACAAACTCTTAAAACTCTTATATTTCTCCTTTTATTTCTAATATCCTCATCAGGTTATGGGCCCAGAACGCCGCAGTGAAATAAACAGTGACAATTTTAAGTGCTGTTAAGTTTAATTAATTTTTTGTTCAATTGTTCAGTGGCCACGTGCGCCCACGTGTTCAATAAAAGGAAAGCGTGCCTTTTTTTGTGAAATTAGTTTTCATCATGAATCCTTCACATTCGATGCGAATAGAAGTCTTGGGCAAAGAAAACTTTGATACTTGGAAGCTCCAAGTAAAAGCTCTCTTAGTTAAAAATGACGCCTGGGAATATGTAAGTAGAGAAATTACAAGACCTACGGAAGTGGAAGGAAACGAAGGTGCCGCAGCGGCATTGGTCTGGGACAAGGCCGACAGAAAAGCTCATTCTGATCTCACTTTAGCGATTCATCCTTCAGAGCTGAAACAAATTAAGCATTGTCAAACCTCTCATGATATTTGGGAAACATTACATGAGATATATCAGTCGAAAGGTCCTGCCAGGAAGGCAACTCTTTTAAAGAAATTAACTTTACACAAGATGGCCGAAGAAGATGACGTTCGGGAACATATTCGTGAATTTCTGGACGCAGTCGTGAAATGTTGATCAACAACAACAGCTTTAGCTGTTGAGAATAATATGATCATTCATCAAGTCGATAGAACTACTGCTTTTCTAAATGGTCACCTTGAAGAAGAAGTTTTTATGGAGATTCCTGAATTATTTCAAGAATTGTTACCTCAGATGGCAATAAAAGAAAATTTACAAAAAAAGGAAAATTTGGAAGAAAACTCAGCATCATATATGTTAAAACAATTCGAAGAAGGAAATAAAGTATGTTTAATGAAAAAATATTTATACGGCTTGAAGCAGGCTGGATATCAATGGCATAAACGATTGACTGCAGAATTGAAAGCTTTCGGATTAAAACCATTAAATTCCGATATTTGTGCATATGTCAGTAATGATTAAGGACGATCATTAATTGTTGCAGTATATGTTGATGATCTTATCATCATTTCTAACGATCTAGACTGGATTAATCATTTTAAACAAAATTTAAAGTCACGTTTTGAAATGGTTGACCTTGGAAGAATCCAACATTGTCTTGGCATGGAATTTAATCAACAAAATGATTTATTAACAATTTCGCAAAGCGGATATATCGAAGCAATTCTCAAGAAGTTCAAAATTGAGGATTCAAAACCTATTTCTACGCCTATGGATCCAAACACAAAATTTTCAGAAGAAGATGATCTACCAGAAGATTCTGATCATTACCCTTTTAGAGAATTGATAGGAAGTTTAATTTACCTAGCTGTTTGTACACGACCCGGCATCATTTTTTCAGTTAATTATCTTAGTCAATTTAATAATTCTTATGATAAACGACATTGGATTGGAGCAAAAAGGATTCTACGCTATTTACGTGGATCGACTAATTTGGGGCTTACTTATAAAAAAGGCTCAAATAAATTAGAAGGCTTTGTTGACTCCGATTGGGCCAGTTGTAATCAAGATAGAAGATCCTACACTGGCTATGTATTTACTCTTGGCAATGGAGCTGTAACTTGGGAGACAAAGAAGCAGCAAACTGTGGCACTCTCTACAACTGAAGCCGAGTACATGGGACTCACTGAATCAACAAAAGAGGCAATTTATCTAACCAGATTTCTTAAAGAAATTGGATTTTGGAATCAGAAAATTGTCGACCTTTATAACGACAATCAAGGAGCTCAAAGACTAGCAAAAAATCCTATTCATCACTCAAGAACCAAACATATAGATATTAGACACCATTTCATTAGAGATGCAATTCAACGAGGAATGATCAACATAAAATATATGGAATCAGATGAGTTGATGGCAGATGCTTTGACGAAAGCATTACCCGGATCTAAATATCAAAATTGTTTAGTGAAGTTTGGACTAAGATTGTTGTAAATTGTTGTGTTGTTTACGCTTGAGGGGAAGTGTTGGGGTTTCAGCAAGCTACAAACTCGTTATACGAGCCTGTACTCCTTGTACTTCTTCTTATTATACTCAATATAGTCAGTCTTTGCTCACCATTCGAGCTGCTACACTAAAAGTTGTCGGCACATAAATTATATAACAAAGTTCTCTTTTCTCTTATATTTCTCCTTTTATTTCTAATATCCTCATCAAAATTAATAAGAAATTGATGAAAAAACCAAAAATTAACAAGGAGAAATCGATAAATTTGAAATTTGATAAAAATTCTGAAAGCAAGGAAATGAAAGAAACAAATTCAGAAAGTGAAATATATGCCGCTGTGCCTAAAATATTGGAGAAAATATTAAAGTCAAAAATTTATCAGAAACGATACAGAAGACATGATACTAATGATAAAAATAGAACACAAAATAAAAGTCAAAATCGTAAAAAAGATTTACTCAATGATTCAAGTGTCAATGATGAAATTAATAAAATTTCATCAGATAATGATCGAATATTACGAATAGATTCAAAACCAAAGGAACATCTTCCTAAAACAAAAATCATTGATGATTTTGTAATCGAAAGAAGAATAGATTTACTCAAGGAAAATCGATGCATTATCAATGATAATGAAAGTTCAACTAAAATTTCCGTTTTCTCTAAATTACCATCAAATACAATACAAAATAATGAGAATAGAAAATCAACAATTATCAATAAGAAAAATATTAATGACAATAATAATGAATTCACGGATATTTTTCAACTAAAGAAAATTAATGCTGTACAACAACAAAATTT